AACCCTAGACCAAGTGCGTGGTTAGCGAGCATTTTACCACCGATCCACTCACTTACCTAAATCAAGGAGTATTGGGCAGATGTTTTTTCCTAGTTTGGGACACTCTAACCGTTCGTACCTCATGGTATTCAGACTCAGGACCTTCTAGTTACAGGACGAGCCTGTAAACCATTAAGACACTGGGACCCTTCTGCGTATATTATATACATATATATGCATTTAGTGACCGCATTTCCCTTACATTCCACCTTGTGAATTTATGGTAATATGCGCGCATAAATGACTGAATTTTTCCCATGACAACTCCTACGTTTTGTAATCTTTGAACAATTCACAGTAGCACCAGTTTTGCGAATTAAGACATTCCTCATGTTGAACGCAAACAGTTCCAATAAAAAATGTTAGTGATAAATTCATTTGTTCAGTTAGAGGAAGGAAGCAGTCAGAAAGTACACTAGTAAGGTAAACATGATTTATGTTAGGATATTTTAGGAAATATGAGACTAGTGAATGATCAGTTGTTACTCTTATTTTATCAGTAAGGATGCAGACTGACCAAGGATCGAGTCCTTCCATTCAATAGAATCAATCAATGTGAAGTCCAAGATAACAACCGATACCCTCACCAAAAGACGTTGTTCATTTCGCATGGTGTCCTAGTGAATAGTGAAACGATAGGTTCAGCGCTTCAGTCCGTTTCGAAATGTCATCACTCCATGCGGATGCAGACGTATACAACTTATGAGTCGAGAAAAAGACGAAACGTGCGTCTTGGATTCCATTGCTAACCATTCCAGACCAGGTGAAGTTAATTTGAGTTGACAGTTACCAACTACACTTGAATTTTAACATGTAAGGACCTCGTTGATCAGCGGTAGGAAGATGATACTCTAATATACAGCCATCAACAATTCCCCGTCTGTCAACTGTACAGTAGTTTGCAATGAAACTGATATCAGTTGGTCAGAATGTCGAAATGACTGAACTTCAAACTCTAAACCTGAAAGGGACTGGTAAGAGCAGAAATTACATTCGGCGAATAGTTATGGTAATGACAATAATTACTGTCATTATATGCGGCTTGTATCTTTCGCCCATCAAATTATTCTCAGAGTTGCCATCCTCTTTCTTCATTTCGTCTCCATCAACTTTATTATTGACCGCATGCAGATTATCATTGCCTCTTGGAAAATCTCCAATTGTTAGATTCCATCATGAACCACCATCAGTTAGAGACGGTTTAAAACCAGGAAGCACTAGACATCTGTTTCGTTCAAGTTTTGGGACTGTCCATCGGAGAGCATCTACTACCCCAATATGTATTGAATGCAGGACTTTCATGTTAACAGACTAAGCTGTTTGGCCATTCAACCACTTGAGGTGGAGCTCAAGCATCGGTGAATTCTAGTTTCTGTCAATGAGTGTTATAGTGCAACTCCTACAAATGGCTTCCATGAACACCCGATTCACCTTGATACGGTGGGCCTCACTGATCACGAGGAAATCTAATAACTAAAATTAGTCCTAATATCCACAAACGCCATAATCTAACCCTTCGAATAAATCATCCTACATACCACTCACGTCTCTTCATAGGTAGTACACATCACATATCAATAGAAGAATGCATCGGCGTGTATCCAAGGCGTATTAGTCAAATAATCGGTGATCAGTTATGCCATATGCAAGACGTTTTCTCATTACAAATGAATTTGCTTTTAGTGAACCCTTAGGCATTTGTAATATTAAAAATCGTTGTCCATCTTGATGAGAACAACTTTGAGATATTTCACACATACACACAGTAAGTTATGAAATGTTTTCAATTTTTCTTACCAGATTACCAATTGTTGTTGGATAGTAAGTTGTTGTTCTTATCGATTTACATTAGTGACTTAACTTCTATTCTTCTCACTAATATTGAGTTGATGATTATGAATAGACGATTTACAAAGTGCTAATTACTTCCTCAGGTGATTTTAGCTTATTAGTTAGAGTAGTCAGAAATTAAATACTAATCAGTTGAATAGCATAAATACACGACAGGGTGGAACATGTGGCTTCAACAGGAAACTGCAGTTTTCACTCTATTTTCTCTAGTCTGCTTCAGGCGACTTCACGATTGCCAACAGGCGCTTTCGTTTCATTCTCACATAGTTTCTTCTATGTCAACCTGTAACCCACGTCCAACACGTCATTCCCTATTAGAGGGCCTGGCGTGCGATATCACCACTTAGTGAACTTCGCAGTGTGAGTTCACTGCATTTACTTTTGCTTCTGAATTTTTGTTGAGTAGCAGGTTCTTAGTCGTTTCGTTGTCAGAGTTTCTTGTTGCTCGTCATTTCTGGTCAGCCATCTGTGGAGTGAAGTTGGCTATAGGTGAAAGTCTGCAGCCTGTTGCTAATGCGTTTCGTGTAACACCAAGTCTTATAAAATCATTCAGATGAATTGAACTGACTGACACTGGTGTTGAAAATTCAGACCTCTTTTCTAGTGTTGAGTGCTGTTGATCTCCACACTATTTTCAGAGTAATGAACGCCTGTCTTGACTTTCATATGATGCATGGATGGCTTTGACATCTTCATTCGTGCTGCCACAAGCTGTCGTTGAAACGATGCTACCTAGATAGGCGAAAAAGGTGACCTTCTTCAAACTTCTGATGCGGCTTTGCTGTGAAACTCTCTAACACCTTATTAACATACTTACCAAGGTATTCGACCTGGACGACTCCTAATTTCGTGTTTGTATTGTGTATTCATGGAGAAAACTGAGGTGATTGAGATAACCAACCAACAGCAGCAACAACCAGCACCAATCACCATCAACGGGAGAAATTTGGAAGAGGTCACTCCCTTCACTTATCAATAAAGCATTGTTTCAACCACAGGGGATAGCAACAATAAGGATGTCAAAACCAGAACCGGGGATGCGAGACAGACGTTTATTAATCATTCAGTGTGGAAGTCTCCGGCACTCAGCATAGAGAAGAAGATTTGGATTTTAACACTAATGTTAAATCAGTCAGTTCTTCTATATGGGTGAGAAACTTACACTGCGCGTTACGAAACGCATTTCCAGCAGGTCACAGTCTGTTAACAACAACTACATTCGCTGGCGCCATATTGAAGATCGAATAGCCAGTTGGCCAGAAAGAATTAGCGAGATGAAACCCTGTGAACAAAGCAATCGAAAAACCTATTGTTCAACAAATATCCCTAAGGAAATGAGGGTGAATCGGACGCAACCCAAGGAGACTGTTGACTGACGTCGCGTTCCTGGCCATCGAGTGGAACCTGAATTGTAAGCAAATTGTCGGGATTCCGAAAGCGACATGGTGCGAATCGTGTGTTATAGGGATGAGAGCCTATGGGCAATTGTAGAACCAGCTATGAAGGACTGCAGAGAACAGAACAAAGTGTAGATATGCTGTTGAAGCCCTACGTTTCACTCAGAAACCAAAGAAATAATAGTAGTAATAATTGTATATTCATTACACCTATTATATGCAGTATAGTACCATACTTTACACAAATCCTGTGTTCTGAATTTCACGCGAAACTCAAACTTTGATTTATTTGATTGAAAGTTTCATATCTGACTACTGTTGTGAATTATTAAAAGAAATCTGTAATATGCCATGTCAAGATGTTTTTTATTTCAAGGAAACATGGAAATTTGAAAGCGGCTGTACAAGGGGTTAGTAAAAATTTCTTTAAGTGATAAGGGATACCCATGGAAGAGAACTAATGGGACAAAAGTGAAAACGAAGCCTCCTTGATGTAATAGTGGCATGAAATCATGAAGATACAATTTTATATGTTAAATTTTGAAACCTAAGACCTAGATATGGCTATGTAGCAACATTTACGGCAGCTTATAAAAACTACCAAGCACTCTGAAGACGTCCAAATAAAAACCTTATAAGAATTTCTGCAGTTGATAATTTACTGTCAGACATCTAAATAATAAATATTACTGAAGTCATTACGTGAAACATAGAAAGGGACTGTACTGCTTCGACTAGCATCGTTGTTAGGGCATTCAACATACACACAGACTCAATATCTTGTTTCTTCTGTTTTTCTACTTAGTGATGGCGGGTAAGTGAATTAACTCAACGATGCTATTCATTGTCATTTTAAAAATGTCACTGGTTGTTTATTCGCTTATTATAACCCTGAGATGCGTTTAAACAAAATCACAGTGATTGCCTATTGAACACCGTCGCTTAAATATTTCAAGTTTCATTTCCGCTTTATCTGAAGTGACAGGAAGAAGAAGGCTGTTGACTAATCCAACAATCTACATCCCACCATTACTGGGATAAAGCAAAGTGTAATTTCAAAGAATTAAAAGTAAAACATCCCAGACACAAGACAAGGAAGCATGTGATACGAGAAACTTTTGAACTATCCAGAAGACTGGATCTCAGAATGAAGAGGATTCTTTAACAGAAGTTTCAGGTGCCTTTCGTTAGAAGAAGAAGTGACATAATTTGTAGTATAAAATGTGCACACTCCATCTAGAGGCTTCTCTTCAGACACAGGATTAACAAGTTAGTGAACATACAACTTTTATTCCATTCGGCACCTCAGGCCTGTAAGTGAATGCTTATTCAATTAGGAAACGGAGAGTGAGGCGTCCGAGAACAACATTGGGGAGATAGTGTTAGAGAAGATGAGAGCCTGCAGGCAATCGTGGAGCAAGCTGAAGAAGAATGCAGAAAACAGGATTGAATGGGAATGTCCTACTAAAGCACTTTGTGTACTCGAAACCAAAGGGAATAATAATGATGTGATAACGCAAGAAAGTATTTCGAAGTAATTTGTCATCAATTAAGTGGGTCAAGGAAATTATAGCAGTAGAAAAGGGAATACGTGATTAAGTAATATTTGGAACAATGCGGTTTCTTTTGGTAGGCTGTATTTAATTGGCTTGAAAGTAGTGGATTCCACAAAACGAACTCAAGCTGGATTTCTTTGCTTATTGATCTTGGTGAATGTATTTGGAATATTCATTTGGATTTCCACAAGTGTTGTAAGTAAATAGTGATTTCATAGCTTTCTATCCTTCAGGTATACTCGCTCTGGAATGTATAATTAAACTTGTAAACAGTTTGAGGTGACTCTTGATGGCCAGCTCTCAAATTCCGATTGCTGAATAAGATGACTGTGATTGTAAATAGCAGTGAACTCAGCTGCTTTGTAAGTTGTATAAAGAGAAACGACCAGTATCTCGATTATTTGCACTGGTGTATTATCTCTTTTGAAGTTAAACTGGATGATTTCCCTCTAAAGAAGTTTGACCTTTCATGTAACTATCTTTGGAACAGCATTTTGGTGCACTATCTTTCTCCTTCAGGTTTCTGTCTGTGTAATTAATTACAGCTGAGATGTTATGCGATGTACAAGGGAGCTGATCTTCATGAATAATACTATTCAGCATATATCGATCTTATATATTTTTATACTTTGAAGTGATACTGATCAGTTTGTTAGGAGTTGATTCTCATGGTGGAGTTACTTGTCTCCTGTCGTACAATCTCTCATTGTGTTGATTGTGAATAACTAATAATTCTGTTAAACATTTACAGGCCTGAGTAAGTGTACAGTTTAAACCAGCATCCCAGAAGTGTAATATATAATATTCTTTACATGAAAAATGTTTACTGTGAACTTTCACTTTTGAGTAAATTAAAACATCTAGTCTTTAACTGATGAAATGAGCAGTTGCTCTGAGAGGCCAATCTGAGTCCTTAGCTCGTCCATAATACAAATCTTTCCCGAGCCTGACCTCAACCAATTCCTTTACCAACACTAGCCCAAACTATCTCTAACCTAACCCTAATCCTTATTTTCCTATCACCTAACATCAAACTTACCCGATATTCTCACAGGAATTCTTATACTGCCTTCCGCATACCTTTTCTGTCATTATAGTGATCTCTGTCTGCTTTCACCGCCTTGATTTGAATAAGCGTGCCAAGGTATTAGGTGCAGTTGGGTTACTTGGATGTCTGTCGCTTCATTTCATCACGATTGTAATCCATTTGCAGTGGACAGAGACTGAAGAAAAAGACGCGGAGAATAATTATATGGAATCTAGTTAGGGTTTTGAGAAACTGATTGAAAAAAAGAGTGAACGCATTTGAGCCACTGCGAATGATCTTAAGGCATGTCACGAATAATCTTATAGTCACTGGCTCTGAATATCCTGATAAAACCGACTAGGAAATCTAAACGTCCTATGTGATTGAAGTCAAAAAGCAGAGATCCCACAGAGTATAGCCATGCTTTCATATAATCATCACTAACACCTTTGTAACGTAGTTGTTTCTTGGCTAGCATTGTTCACAGAAAAAGGTAATGGTCCAGCAACCATAGCACATGCCACAATGACTTCAATCGGTGAAGCTTCACAACCTCATTGATTAGCTTTCTTTCCCTATGAGTGACCATATCGCTCCACCCAACACATGGAACTGAATGGAGTCAATTTTTGACTCCTAATGCTTTCGGCGGCCGCTTTTCTATAGACCTAATGTATGACGGAGCAAACTGTTGGACATAATACACAATGTTTGACTGGTAGACGAATGTCATGCATATGGATACGTATTTATGTATATATGTATATTCAGTACGATTTTAAGCAACATTCTTCTTCCTGAACTACAGCTGCACGTTGTATTGTTGTTTACGAAAGACACATAGATAATGGAATATAATAAGTACGGGGTAATTTGAAAGACACTAAGACACTTAGGGTATCTTCAGCCGCCTTCACTTCACTGATTTATGTACACTTGATATTTTAATTATTAGCACTCATCTGTACTGATGAGTCCACAGACTTTGGTGTCTATAGTTGATTTTGAATGCAGATCCTTTCTAATAGTAAAACTGGCCATCCTGTGTCTGATTTGCAATTCATACAAGGTTGTGTTGTGTGACGTGGATAGTTTAGTTGTGAAACTTTGATTGTTCTTCTAAACAACATCTTCAGAGCAGACATCAATGTGAAGTGACACTTTGTATATCTCCACGAGTCAACTAGCGGTCTCTCTAGGTGATGTTGTTAATGGCTGGTTATTCCAACAAGTTTTTTCATCCTTTAGTCCAATTGTGTAAGAAGTGATTATTTTGTTGACTTGAGAATTGACATTTTGTTCACGATACTCTTTACTCATTCATAAATTGTACCTGTGTCAATGTGTCTGTTGATCGCAGATTCTCCAGAAACAACCAATCACTTTCAAGTGTACCGGACGAGTTGGATGATATATTCGAGGAGAATTCTATAGGCTTATTTCATTGAATTCTCCTTTGAAGATATGTCTTCTAGAAAGACAATAAAAGCTTCTCAACTAAACCATCCAGCTTGGAGAACACAGATTTGTTTTTTTAAATTCTATTTGTGTATTCTTTCTCGTTCCCAGTGTAATACAGAGCATCACACTTCAGATTTGAAGAAGTTTTAGTAGCACTGGTTTAATTTTTACTCACACCTCACATCAAACCGTCCAACTTTATCAGGCTTCCTATCAGCAAGGTTGGGTCAAGGAATGTTTAGACTGAGGATCGAACCATGGACTGCATACTAGGTGGGCGAGTTTTATATTATTCTCACACCTACAGACATGGTGTACTAATCAATAGACTGTAAACCCTATTCATTCCTTTGTGTAAACTAACGTTTATACAAATTTTAATGTTATAGGCGAAGATTCCTTAAAGATGTGTAAGTGTACGATTAAATAAGGTTATTGGTGTATATTTAAAGCATCAGATGTTTTTTAAAGGGAATAAATTCAACTTCCAATTTCCCTCCCATGTTTGCTATTGTCAACTGAACTATGTAGATCATTTAAAATCTTAGTAAATAATGAATATTATGGTTAAGTAATATGAAAACGTAAAATATTGCAGACTTGGTTGCATGGTTTTCTATGAAATTAATTTCTGGTTAAGTGGTTGCATCGGAACTTGAAGATTCTGGTTTTGGTGAATGGTGGAGAGAAGTGAGGTTATTATTAAACACCGAACAAGCTTATGTATTCTACCCTGTGCTTCATGAACCTCAATGATTCTCAGATCAATGTTGTTTCATTGCGAAACTTACCATTTTTACGTGAAACTCACTTGCTCTAAATGGAGTCAATTAAGGGGAGCTGTCCAGTTTTATTTTGTACTTCGCTGTCTTAGACTACTTTCGGCATTTACGCATGATCCGACTTCTTGGGAAATCTGATCCAATCAACTTTTCGTTGACATGGTTTTCAATTCACTTCATTGTGGAGATTGGGTTGATAATTAAAGCTTTGAAACAAATCATTTGAGCAAGGAATTAAAGAATTATCTAGGAACACATACAGTCTTAAATGAATTAAAAATATTTGATAATATGCAAGGAAGTGTTGGACGCAAGATATTTTTCAACTGAAATAACACGAGATTTAAAGTTGTAAACCCACATTATTTTCTGCTAACTAATTAGGCTTAATGCCATTGCGTACATGTAAGTTCCAACAAATTATGATTGAATTCTATTACACAATCAACATGGAAACTTTTAATTCAATTGTATTTCCACCAAGAAATATTTCGATGTGGTAATCTGTGCTTTTTACACCAACAGTGTTTTCATTTGACCTAAAACAAGCCACATTTTATTCTTAACATTTCAAGGTTTTTCCTTACTACTAAATGGTAAGTTTGTTGAAGAGTTATTCTGTAAATATTTGACCAGTTACAAGTTTAATCAATGATTGCATTCAGTTACGAATACCTCTGAAAGCCAGGGAGAACTGGATAGCTGTTTTTCAAATCTGTATATGCACTTCAGTTTGTAAAATGTCCCCTTCAAGAGTAATCTTTTCTATGGGTTCAATAGACTTTCTGGTGCCATAAAAAATAACCTCTTCACTGGTTAAATAAAATAGTTGACTGTTCTGAGATATTGACTGTTAGTCAAGCATTAGAAATGGAGCTACACAATAAGTTGGGTTGCTTAATCTTCTTATGAACTGGTCTGAATTCTTGATCGACATCATCATAATAATAATCTACTTTATTCCAAAAGCAGTACTTATAATACAGAATGGAATTCTCAGCATTTATCACAAAGTTGCATCTGATTTACTCAAAATATAAGTAAAATTAAAAATTAAAACAAAATTAACCGGAGGAATTTGTCGACGTTTACGATATAAGGTTAAAAACATGCGAAGCACGAATTGAGAATATTAAATATAATAATAGTGATCATAATAATATAATAATAATAACAATGAGTTTGTATTAAACACTATTGTCGATTCAGTTTGGAAATTTTAGCATGTTATAGATTATTGAATCTAATTTTCTCTTGATACAGTATGGTGAGGGGAAATAGAAAATTAACAGTCATAACACAGCCTAAATTATGTTCACACTTATGAAAAAAATAAACAAAAACAAGAAATTGAGAGGATTATAAATATAAGAAATACAATGATAATAAAGTTTGATGCTTTAAGGGTGGAGGAAATGGTTTATTTACTAGTGCAAAGAAGGTTAGTCAGTTCATGCCCAACACTATTTTCATCACATAAAGTACGTTCCGCGAAATATGGAATAGTGGAATTCGCATACTTAGACGTACATGCATAAAGTCTTCTGAAAAGACTTCTTGTTTAACCTGAGGAAACACAAGTTTGGAGCTGCGGGTAGAGTGGGTGCTCACAGTCTGACAAAATTGATTTAGCCAATTTTGTTGCATGATATCAAGTGCCTATCAGTGACTATGTCAACGACATGGCCCAATGGGATATCACTAACCCCACTGACTGACAGTCTTCAGAGTTCTACGAAGTATGACCTAGTCTTTTTTAATCATTCCAGGAAAGAATAAGCAAGGGTGAAGAGTAAAGAAGAATAGGTAAAATACACGATTCGACAAACTGTAAGAGGAGTGGTTGGGTTATGCCTGAGTGCTTTAACTTCTTGATATAAATTGTCAGACGAAATATTGTTTGAGGAATCTCTTAGAGATGGGAAAACCAGGATAGGTTAGAAGAAAGAATTAATCCAAGATATTTGACTTCAAACTTGGTTTCTATATCAGTATCATCAGTTTTTCAAGGGTCATAGGAACCAACGGCTTCATTTGACTTTCGTTTACATCTGAAACTGAAATTAACAGTCTGATATTTGAAAGCATTTGGTTTAAGACTATTGGACGAAGACCATTTGCTAACTCCTGATGGAAAGCTGTTCATTTTAGTGTAGTCTATCTGGGAGTTAACAGACATTGAAATAGTTAGATCACCAACATACTTAACAAAGTTCATTTCATCATCACAATGAGGCAAGTCATGCAAGAAGAAAAAAAACAGAAAAGGGGAATGGACAGCGCCTTGAGGGACACCAGCCTCAGTAAGCAACAAAGTGGACGACTTTCCCTGACACACAGTGTACTGTTTTCTTCCTGAGAAATAAGAATGCAGCCATTTGACAACCGAACAGTTCGTTTGAGCTTCAGTAAGCTTGTTTAACAAAATGTCCCTAGGTACTGAGTGGAGAACAGATGTGTAATCTAGGAAGGTGCAGCGAACAAATTTAGCCGCCTTGTCTAAGCTGGAGACAATGTTATGATACAAGACTGCATCTGTATCTAAAGTACTTCTACTGTGTTCATAGGCGAATTGTTTTGGATCGTTAAATGCTTTAAGTGAAGGATGAAGATTAATTAAGAGTAACTTTTCCATAGTATTTAGAAAAGGAGAGGTAATAGCAATAGGTCTAAATTTAAAACATGTTCCAGTAGACGACTTAGGTATAGGTACAATTTTAGTGTCCTTTCAAACGGCTGGAACGACATTTCTGGAAAAATATTCATTGAATACGTCAGTGAGAGGATAACACAGGATATCTGCACAATGATGTACATAGTAACAATTTCAATGATCACATTTTGCTTTCAGTCGTGTTACGATGAAAGACAAGTAAGTTCATCATAATTCATCTTAATGAAATACCCCAATATCGCCAAGTCGATACCAATAGCAAAGGGGAAATCTTTGGAAATTAAGAAACACTGAACAGTTGCTTCATCTTCGTTTAAGACACTTCAGGACGATTATCTCCCAGGAGTAACTTTTGACACTTAGTTTATTTTCAAGTGTCGGCTACTAGTGGTGTGATTGGTTTCAAGACTGTCTTAATCACAGACCAATATCAGTCAGAGATTTTTGAAGGCTGGATAGCTGTTCCATCCGATTTTGGTGCTGCCAGTACCTGTGCATCGGTGGTTCAACAGTAGAAAACTTGTAAACCACTCACGTGGTCACGGGTCCGATCACTGAAAGAGGCACACCTTAATCTCGCTAAGGTGGTAGTAAACCGGGAACGGAGGGACGATTAGGTGAGTGGCCAGTGACCTTAACCCGTAAAAATGATACCACTGCTATCAAAACTTCGATGCTGAAGCCTGTAGCCCAAAGTTTCACTCGCAAAACAAGGAAGTGAGACAAAAAACAATAAATAAGGATTGAAGTAGGAACATTAAAGTTGTAAAGCGAGAACGTTGACATTCAGTCATTGGTTAGGAGTCCTATGACCCAGAGTCCCAATTATGCACCGTCCAATATCCCTAGACAAGGATGAAGAAGCGGTTCAGTGCCGTCTGATTTTCAGTCGTATTTTGATCTCGTCTACCTTAGAAAAAGAAAATTATGCTCATCAACTGCCTGCTGTTTGTCTATGCTAAAATATATCAACGTAGTATATACTGTGACTACTATTCTAATTTTTATGACACTTTTGCATACTTCAATGCATTATGCAGCGTTAGAATTTAGCTATAAGCAACTTCTAACACTGATTTACTGTTTTATATTCACAAAGTTTATGTTGCGGATTTTCAAAAAAAACATTACTGGAATTTGCCGTGTGTTTTTCAAGTTTTGGAGGTTCATTTCAGTATGGCGTTGAATATGGAAGATAAAGTGATTTGTGAAGATCACATCGTCGCAAGGTAAAAATTGCTTGTGCAGGTGTAATACAACCGCGATCATCTCATTTGATGCATAGATCACAGAAATAAGTAGTATTGGTAAGCGATGACTGTTCACAAGAAACCTTGTTACTCACACAAGTCTTTTGTTCCGCTGTTCCTGGAGTATCTGTAGAACAGCAGATCATCAGTACACACATTAGGAAACTTTCACGTGTATACTTAACAAAGTATTATACATGTACAAGAACCCAACGTGAGCAACTTTACTTCAAACTATTTTACACCAGGGAAGTGTATTAGGCCTTATAAGGTAACTAATGAATACCTTATAATCAAATGAATAAATAACTTTAATGAGATAACTAAGCGTAGATACTACTTATAAAATAGTCAATACCACAATAACAATTTGCTCATCTATCAACGTAATACTGATAAGAAAATCAATGTTGAATTACACTATGTACATCAATGTAGTCACATTATTGTATTCATTCTCAACTTTCTGATTACAGATATAAAGTTACCCATCAAGCGTAAGTGGCATGATTTGCTGGACATTTTTTATCTCCTTAACAGGCACACAATCACTTACAGTTTGATATCATCTTATTTCATTGTCACTTTGCAGTTACTAAGTAACTAAATGAGTATAACACGATCAGGGAGGAATATAATCTAATGTCGTAGTCACTCTGACTGAGTAATCGGTGGAACTTTTCTCAGTCACATTTTGCAGGAGCATTTTATGCAGATCAAGATCTCCAAATCCCCAAATGGGGATTGACTTTTGTTACAGACCTGAAGATATACCAGTGAAGTCGAAATACTTTGGATGATTTAGGAAGTTTTCTACCCCAAGAGAAGCACGTCGTCCAATGATGAGAATGCGACCTTAGATCCCACCTACAGCAATTGGATTTCCTATTTTATAATCATGTGCATGCATGTCATTGTAGCACAGAGTGTTTACGTGTAAATCATCTGTCTGTATTATTTCATGAGTCTCAGTGTCCATATCAGGTGCGGAACCATCGCTGCTGCCACCAAGAAATCTTTATTCCTTCCTCACTATCCAGCAGAATGATCTTTCGAATTTATTCTAATTCCTCTCTTAACATAGTCGAATGGGACACTCACAACATCACATCAGTCACTCATCAAGGCAGCTAATACCTTCTCTGCATAGATCTAGACTGTTTTCTACGCTTCCGTCAGTGGGCCTTCAGTGAACACTATGCGGAACTATGTTCACCATCGGCTTTTCGGAGGGGGTTGATCTCCAATATATGCTCAAGTGGCCGCATTATATTCAGGGTTCTCTTGACAACTTTCGCCTCTTCATCATATGGATATTTTTGTGCAAGTTCTGACATAATTTTCTGCTCAACGGTCTTAGCGGCTTTGTCATGGTATCTCTCAGCCATGATGCGGAATGAGCCATCGTCTTTTTCAAAACAACATGAATGACAAAAGGCGCTTATGAATGGTGAGACGGATTCTGAGAAGGAGGAGAGCACAGACAGCATCTTTAAAGCAGTTGAGAACGACTTCAACATTTCTAAGTCTCACAATGTTGTCGGTTTAAGACAAGTCTGGCTGACTGACTTGTTCTTACCGCCATCTCAGTGAAGTGTTATAAGTAGGTGAGAAATTTGTTTATAAGAATATGCTTTGAAAGGGAGTGAGGGGAATAGAGAAGAAATCATTCATCTCTACCTTTAGCAAACAGTCACGATGTGTAGGCCTTAATTCCGATGTGAATAATTTAGTTGGGATTATTATGAGAAGTCTCCAATAATCTTTGAAGACAATGAAATTAACAACCTCATTGAATATATAATTCCCTTGGATTCTAAATGCAGAAATGGACTTCAACAACACAACGCCATTGCACTCTGTTATCTGCAGTCTGCTCTAGCTGATACAACTCTGATTTCCTTCTCACGCTGCCTCCATGTGACTCTCATCTCTCATTCATGTTTCAGTTAGGAGAGTGGCGCATGGTGTCACTCAACGGTCTTCTGAAAGCATATCAAATCCATCTTCATTTCTTTCTGCATATTTGTTGAGTAGTAGGTTCTTGTTTGGTTCTCTTTGTTACTCGGTTATCCTTTCTAAGCATTTGATACCTGGTATATATATATGTCAGTGGTTGGTTACAAAATACTCCACTTAAAGGATGACTCTGGTGTCGTTCGAACAGAGGTTAGTCATCAAAATCGATGTTTAGGGAAATAACAATGAGCTACAAGTGATAGCATAATCAGTCCTGACTAGCATGAAATGAAGGTAGTTATTTGCCATGTTTTTCAAAGAGGAATAGAGAATATTTAGTAATTGGATTAAAAACAAATTAACTCAGTTGAAAGATGTAGGGAAAAAGATGACGTTATGATATACAAGACAGCCGGTGAGTACTAGCAAGCTTAAGTAAAGCATGGCCTACTGCTTAGTGATTCTATCTAACACTCAATTCCACTAGACAATGTTTTGTTCACTGTAAGGAACTTTAGTACATTGATGTTATGGAATTCGACAGGATATCTTTGAATAAATGTCTACTTCGCTTTAATTAATGTGATGAGACAAATAAGCGTTTGCCTAGTAGAAAGCGAATATGCAACTGCATAATGTGAACTCTGATGCGATCCGTCAGCTGGCAGGAATATGATTTAATTGGAAAACAACTCCTTTCTTTCTCCTTTCATTCTTCCCACTGCGGGTGGAACAAAAGGATTCATTGGCAATGTTATTGTTTCCACCAGGTGGGGTTAAGGCTTGTAAATCAGGCGAGCTTTCGGAGTAATTCAGTCAGAAGTTGGACCCAGACGACATGAGTGGTTGGCACAAATCCTGCCGTAGTACTGTAACGGTAGAAAGCGAAGACTTGGTAAAGGAATGTTTTGCTTGCAGTTTGGTATCTCTATATAGCGAAATTATGTACACCTAATCTCCAAATCACCATTTCCTCATATCTTCCCTGTCGTGCTACTTTTCGCCTTCCTGAATATTGTGTTTCTTCATGTCCCCTCTTCAAGTCCCTCGTGTTTCTCCGCAACGCTGTATCATTTGCTTTCTCTGACATCCAGTCTATCTCCCCGCTGTTTGAAGTTTTTGTGTCGATGAGCATCTCTTGATATGTATATACTACTGATGAATCTTATCAGTAGTAAACGCTACAGCACTACTGATTCTTAATCACCATTCTCAATGTGATATGAAATTATGAAAGTGATTTGCTACTTTATTAAATGCAGATAAGGGTTTTATGAAATCCAGCCAAAATTATTCATCAAAATATTTTTTATACTGAATAATTTATGGTACTGATTTTAACCAAAAATTTGTAGGTGCGTCGAATATCTTACTTTGTAAGTCTTGTAAATGTTGTTTGGTAATTATTGTCGAGGCAATTGGTAATATTCTTGGTAATTTACACAATAATTCACAGTTCACTCACCTAATACGAGTGTGGAAGTCCTTCCAATGCAGACAGGAAAGTTAGTCACTCCCTGAATCTACCGAGCTCTTAGTTACTGCTGTCTTCACCTGATTGCAACTCTTATCGTTTAAACGTTATCTCCATTCTCTTTCTGTGTCTTCTTTGATCTCATTTTAATTTGGAGATCACATGTGCTCATAGTGAAACCTCTTCTCTAGACCTGTTCACTCTTTTTCCATCTCTATACTGTTTTACGATTAATTTCCCTCCTTAGCTTTCATCAGATTTGTGTCCTGCACGTGTTCCTTAGTTTAATGCCTATTGAAAATAAGAGAAATGCTGTTAAGTGTCTTACGCACGGGGACAGCAGAAAAAAGATATGCACGGAAAATGACTTACAAAAGGAGTTTGAATATATTCATGATTCCTTGACAAGGATGGGCTATCCGGGTAGTTTCATCAAGAAACATATGAAAAAAAACATCAGGTAGTAAACTGAGACTATGACGGTACGGTATTAATGGATTTACAATTAAATGGGGACTTGTCAAGTAAGATTTTGCTTCAGGGACTTTACAGAAGTATACGTAGAACGTCTTACGTAGTGAACCTACGTTTGTCATTCTGTAGTTGAAGAATGACTGCGACCGAAGCGAAGTATAAGCCAGACAGTTTTGCAATATCTATGTGTATTTAGCGATAAAGCTGCTCTTATAGGCCCTCTTATGTTGGGTGTACTACTAGATAGCTTGACTAATGTATTACTCAACATTCTCCATAGTGGTTTGACAAAGGACAAACAAAATCCCTTGCTCCTTTTTATCGGATTTAGCTGATGCTGGCGATTTAGTAGAGAAAAAAGCAATCAATCATGATTCGTCTTATCCCACTGAATCTTCCCACCGAACTTGGTCTTCGCCTACTTCATATATCTGGGGCAATAAGCATTGGGACTAATAAGCCTAAACTATGTATTATGCGTCAGACAGTGGGAAACGAAAAGACAGGGATATCCTGGACCGACGTGAAGAATCCAGAAGACCTGGATTTCGCGCGTAGATGATTTATGTTTGATGTCACACAAAATCGAAGACTTACAAGCGAAAACCACCAAACTGGTCGAAGAAGCAGCCAGAGAAGACAGGACTCCAGGTGAACATAGACAAGACGGAGGTTATGAAAATAACCAACCAACAACAGCAACAGCATCAGCAACATCCAGCGCCAATGACCGTCAACGGGAGGGATTTGAAAGAGGTTACTTCTTTCATTTATCTACGGAGCATTGTCTCAACCACAGGAGGAACGGACGAGGATGTCAAATCGAGAATCGGGAAGGCGAGAAACACATTCATCAACCTGAAAACAATCTGGAAATCTTCGTCGCTCATCATCAACAACAAAATTCGGATTTTCAATACAAACGTCAAGTCAGTCAGTTGTTCTATACGGATCAGAAACTTGGCGGGTCACAAAGAATATTTCCAACAGGTTGCAGACCTTTATCAACAACTGTCTTCGTTCTATACTGAAGATCAGATGGCCGGAAAGAATCATCAACAAGAAACTATGGGAACTAACAAGACAGGAACCAATCGCCCAACAAATATGCAGGAGAAAGTGGAGGTGGATTGGACACTCGCTGAGGAGGCCGCTGGGTGACATCGCACGTCAGGCCCTCGAGTGGAACGCGAAAGGGAAGCGGCGAGTGGGACGTCCAAGGGTGACATGGAGAAGATCGTGTGAAGGGGAACTGAAACAGTATGGATTAACATGGATGCAAGTGAAAAGTACAGCAGAAGACAGAAGCAAGTGGAGGCGTGCAGTTGAAGCCCTATATTCCACTAGGAACCCAAGGGAACAATAATAATAATGTATTGGAAAGAATTTCTTACAGCCGTTATTCCTCCTTACCTTGTCACCAACACCCGTCATTTACTTCCTTTAATCCACTTCCCAATCTTGTCACATCTTCTTTTAATAAAAAAGTTTATTTACTTCTCTTTCAACCTAGAATTATTTAATTGAACCATCGGTTTTTCTCAGCCTTTAGTGACTCCCACTCCCACATGAACATTTATTTGCTTAGTCATGCTGTTTTTCATAATTCATGTGATCATAGATCACTCGACTTCTTAACCTTGATTACTGATGGAATCATTATAAATATTATGATTAACTGGACAATTTATATGCACAATCTGATGATCCTATTGACAAGTCACCGTGATTGGGTTATATGTGATATTAATTAGTAGAGTTATGCGTATTAGATTTACCCATGATGAGATATAAATGAAAACAATATTGTTCACTTAAATGTGTTCCTCTACATTAAGTATAAGGAAAGACTCCTCGACACATCAAAAAGGGACTTAATAGCTTTCTTCACCGCTATTCTGTCAAGCTTGCTCTAGTAAATTCGAAAATCCACGAAAATCCAAAATGATTCTGGAAGTCGTTTCGCTGTATTGAATCGCTCGAAAGATTTCCTTAGCTACATCAAAATTTTGGCTATGTCTTCGAATCGTCGTGAATATTTTAAATTTACATTAAATAATCCTACAAATGAGCTGACTTGGAACATTCTCAAGATAAGAATGTGAAAACCTCCTATTCTGATTTTCACGGAAATGTCCAAAGCACGGTTTTCAAAGTGAGAATACTCTACTGAAATGATGGACTGTGTTGTGACAAATAAACTCTAATGAAACAAGGAATCATCAGACAATTTTTATTCAGCTCTTATTACTTAGGTTGTGACATTCTTCCCATAGAAGTACTTCCTGTGAAAACTTACCCCTGCTACTACAATGACTACTACCGCTAAAATGAGAGCCGAATGATGCATTTATTCCTCACAACAGAATATAGAGACGTGTGGTGAAACATTTTGTGACACCGTGATGAATACCACTGCATACTTACCTTAGTTCAGACATCACAGAAAATTAAGACCCAGTGAGAGAACAATTAGTCTCAATTTGCTGGTCTTTGACAGTGCAGAACGGTTCATAAATGAGGAGTAAATTTACTAATGTTAATTCTTAAAACCCGTGGGCTTTCTTCCATCAAGATATAGATTAGTTCGGATCCAGTCCTTTTTACAGCACAATTATTATCGAATCCTGTAAGTGACTGTATAGTCGGCGAGATAGATGAACCTAAGTGTTTCCAACATTTCACTATTACCGTTAAATGAAACATCAGTCAGCCGGGAGTTGAGGTGAAAATGTCGTGTTTTCTAAAGATTTGACCGAAATTGAGTCAGATGGATCGATAAATGAATGTAACAGCCAATGCTAAGTGAAGTGTCCATAAGATTTCAAAGAAACTGTTTGCACACCCTATCTCTAACCCTGATTGAATTATTTAGTGAATCCTTTGGATTGGTGTCTTTTCAGAGACCATATCATTCGACTGATCCTCAGAAGAATACCAAACATAATTGTAATACAGGGGCTCTGTCAGATGACTATTTGACCTGCAGCAAACGGTGTTTAGGATTGCAAACATCGCAGTCAACCTACCCAATAAGATAAATGACATTAGAAGACAGACGACTCAATTTATTTGACACTTACTGCAGAATATCCACTAAAAACGGAATAATCTGTTGCACCAAAGTACTCGGAAATGAGAGGAATAATATCCCTGATCACAATTATAAATCACATCTGTTGATTTCATTATAACAAAGATAGAAAGACGCTGTGAAAATGACTTATAATTCACTCATTGTTATTTGCTTTCTCCTAATTACACTGTGCAAATAAATCCATAAATATTTTCATTTCGTATCATTCATATTCCAGGTGTGGGATGACATCGAGAATGTAAGTACCGAATCACTAGCAGCAACAAGAGAAAGCAACATTGCTGACAGTTCTGTTTATGCTTATTATGCTTACTGAGTCTTCACATTTGAATGAGGAAAACACCAATAAGTATTTGATAACTGCCTAGTAAACGTTTCCCTTATTACAACTGGAGGTTGCAACAAAGCTTGTACAATAATATTTGAAACGTGTATTTGTAAACGAGCGAGTGATTGGTAGTGAAATTACAATTATACAATTACATTAGTCCTAAAAAAGTATCACTGACTAATTATAGTCTGAAACATTGGGCCGACCACTCAGCATTGATCATTGTGGTGAAATCTGATTGGTCAGTTAGCTGATTCAAGGTTTAATTTACAAACGACAGACTAGTCAGCTAGCCTATAGTTACACATAACACTTCCCCTTTAGAAAGGCCGATGATGTATAACGTTGGGTCGATATAAAACTTTGGAAGTTTCTGTCGTTATCTTTTATGAAACGCTGTTCGCTTATTTTAAGACCCGTCGAAACTGAACGCTACTGTTTAATTTCCGTCTTGTCAACTCTGTGTGGCCGAAAAGTACCCAGCAGTCTGTTCAAAAGCAGATTCAACTTAGGGTTGATGTCGCTGACGTAACTGATTGTAATGATGAGTGCATATTATCACTGCCAACGTTCACACCAGGAGTGAATTACACTCGTTGTGCCAAGATATAGCCTTCGTTCCCAGCTTTGCGTCCTCGTCGATAATCCCTGGCACAGATAGCTTTATCAATCTCGAATTTCCTTTTTCTTCTGATTGGTGAGTGTGAACGCTTGGATTCTTTTGGTAACAATGGGTTATGAATTGTCCTTAAGTTTATGCTCATGAAGAATTTCAGCTGAATTACATCACCGAATATAATGTTGAATGTTTTTTCAATGGGAAAAAATGAGGTGGCCTCCCGTAACTTGAAATAAATTCTATAGGAGTGGAAAACAAATTAGTCTTCAAGCTGCGTGAAGAAATCACTATAAAATTAAGCGCAGAAGAAACAGAATAGACGTCTCATTGTTTCCCAATATTAAAGACTGATTCTTAATGCACTACTGACGTCAGTTTGTTCTAGTGTGATGACTTTAATATAATGGTTATCTGCACCGGCGCTTCAGCAGCAGAATACTGACAGGTCACGCACATGGGAGGTCCAGGTGTAATTCCCGTTTGACTCACTTCCAAACTTCGCCTGATTTACTAGTCAGTAGGAAGTCTCAGAAAGAGGAAAGATCAGGCATGAGGCTAGCAGTCACACTACAAGAAGAAAGGACTCCGAGCCAATTGAAACTTCAAAAGCTTTTTGCACTCGGAAGGCAAAGAATAAAATGTTTGCTTACCACCTGATTGCATTTTTTAAATCTGAAATAGGAAACAATGATGGATAGCATTGATCAGATTGGTTTATTCAGTATTCAGATCACTCTGTACACCATCTGTCGGTATTTGATCCTTTTCGAGTTTGAACAGGATTGCGACTTCCCACATTGGTCATAGAAAGCAATTAGAGCCTTCAAGTTCTCAATACAGACCAAGGTGTCAGAGTGATAATTCACCATTCAGCACTGTGTTGACCCTAAAATGTAAGGTGAAAGCTACTTTTCTGAGACTATATGACGTGAGCTACTATGTTAAAGGTTAGTTATAAAGTAGTTGGTAACGAAAGTTATTCAGCGAATAAAGCTGTGAATTTTGGTTAGATGCAACGTCTGCGATGCAGGTTAAACTATTACGGTTTTGTCCAATGTGGAAATAGTATCTGAAATAGGATCTGAGTAACAGGTAGTTACAGCTGTCTACTCTGTGTCATATTAAGTCAATTCATCCACTCAGCGATTACCAGTCTGCATCCTGTATGGCAGTAGGAGTCATTTGGCTGTGATCATAAAGATATCAGTAGTCGGTGTGCTGAAATCTTCGCTAACGTGTTTGAAAATTATCATGTCGGTAAAGTAGTAGTTGTTGTTATCACCTCTGCTGACACTTTTCTCAAATAATGGCCTACCTTTTTCACCTATTTCCATATGAATCTACTCCTGTATTCTTTTCCCACTCTCGAGAACTCTGCCACCTTGAAATGTTGCATTTCTATGCAGAGTTTTGTGTAAACAGTTCTTTCTCCTTCATTGCTTCCATCACGAGTGGGACATAAGGCCTCGAGCTTTCGAACTCTCAGTAGTGGTTGTATTCCGTTGACAGAGTGGGGTTGTAAGCTTCATGCTCAACCTTCCCACTTTCTACTGTTGGTCGATAAACTAAATGAGGTTTCAGGATGTGTCAGTTGAGAATAGAACGCAGTCCACTTGCGTACTTGGTAGACATTCCATCAGTGGATCAACGACACCTATCAACAGTTCTGAACAATTTTAATTGCTAAATCTAATAATTCTTCGTTTGAATATTCACCTTAGGTTTTATGTGAATGATGAACTGTAAGTTGGTCTTATTTGAGGATGTGATTTCAATCATTCCTCGTCAGAACTTAACACTTTGTCTCATTTCGACTTTATGTCTTTATTTGTGTAAAAACTGATATGAAAAACTTGACGGCAAGTAAAATTCAAAAACAAAGGAAACTCAAATTCAAGTATCAAAATGATTTGCTTGCTAATGAATTTAGCTTTCTAAAGTTTTACACTTATGTACGGAAACTAAAGAGAAGTGGAGATGTTCTGTGGATTGGTAATCAAAGCCTAGAGAGTTGAACTACTGATTAATAAACATTTTTTTAAAATTTTGGTTAACTTGAAATCAACTGTAAAAAATTTCTTAAGAAAATAATTCCAGTACATTGGTTTGTTAACTCCTCAACATGGTTCGTTCACATTCTCAATCAGGATGGTGTCAAATATCTCTCGAAGAACAGGATGACATTTAGGCAGTGAACTGTTAAACTGTAACTAGTTTTCACCAAATCCTACTGGTCCCTTGTCATCTGTATGTGGATGCGTCGGCGGTAGCTCAATTGTAGATTGCTCTTAAACCACCCACCCATGCGGTCCACATTCCAAACTTTGCTGAGTCATACAAACTCAAGACTTTCTGAGTAGTGAAGGTAAGAGTTGTCCAGTTTCTTTCCGTCAACGATCCCGATAACACTAAAACACTCAGGTGGTATTCAATTATTCAAGAATTCTGTTTACACAATAACAAACCTAAACAGTTTTCAGTCGATTTTAAAAATACAGACATTCTTGGTACTGAGGCATATGTCCACGAATTTGTTATGAATTCCTCTACTGTGCCTTCAAAATAACAAATAAAATGATGTCATCCAACAGTATTCTAAGCTATGAAGTCCAAATATTAAAGTTTATTGGTTCACTGGTTTTATCTCACAAAATGCTTATTGATGCCCTTCATTTACCAACATTTTCAGTGGAAAAAATCACCCAGACGTGTAAGTCAAATGAAGGATTTCCCTTTTATGAATGAAATGAAAATTCAGCAGAAAATAGATCTGCATTTGGGTCTCAGTGGGATGCAGATACATCCAGTTAATGAGTGTTAAATTGGACGCAATGCGCATCTTTGCTTCCAGTCTTAACCAATATCCACTAGGAGCTGATCACTTAATCACTTGATGAATAATTTTAGCTTCGAAATTTAATCATCACACTTATGTTTTATCTGGCAAGTCAAGATTCCAGGCGCGAGAGTAGTTGTGAACCAACAATGGTCAGCACAATCTGTGAGATTGCAGTTCCTTCACAACACCGATGTCATCATAGATGAATTTGTAATCTAAGTATTTTAAGCGATATGTTAACAGACTAGTTTTTATAAAACTCCTCTTAAAAATAAAATATTACCGGTGAAAGTTATAATCTGTATTACATAACTTTACCCGAGTATCAACTTGTTAGAAGGCAGTTAGTTGCCCCAGTGTCATGTGAACATTAGCACTGGTCAGTAGATCTTCACTGTAACACTAGGAAAAGTCATATTTTCTGTAAGCTCCAAATCTACTTCGTTCAACTCCTAAGTCACATACTTCACGACAAAGTTATTCATCTTGTAGGTGGCCATAAAACGAGAGTCAGGAAATATACGTTCATAAGTCTCCTGATTCTAATCAGTTAATGAGCATGACAAGCCTTAAATATTTCTCTCAAAATGTATCAATCAGAAGTTTGTGATCAACATTAGTACCTATTCCTTGAACATTTCAATTTCCATAGCTGATTGCACTTTGTCTATCGAACAAATTGATATATATTGTGAAAAACATAGAATTCTGACTCCTGAATATACCTTGAGAATACAATACTCCTGGTAGGATTTCAGTTAACACCGTCTATTTATTGTGTGTACTATAAAGTGATTGACTGGATGATACCAACTTACTTTGTTTCTCATTTTTGTTGTAAAGGCCGAAACAACTCCCCCTTCTGTAAGTGTTTATCACGTTTGTGTATTACAATCTAATTATTATTCATTCGTTATGCTACGACTGAAACATGTGGCGTTATCAGAACATCTTGAATGCACTTAGCTCCCTGATATCAAATTCAAGTAGCATCATGACTACCCAAAGGCTTTCACTTCCTTCTTATAAGATCTCTTCCATATCAACTCTGGATACCTAACATGCCAGGCGCCTTCCATTCGGATTTCACTTGAGCGAGTTGCATGTAATATCACTTACCTAGTTAATTACCAGGAAGAAAAGACGCCTGCGTCTGGATCTAGCAACCAAGTGACAATGACTACAAAGTGCAGGATAACTTGGCTAGATCACAGTACAGCAAAAAGACGACCTCGGTAAGAAAAAGAAGGCTTAAGAGACAGAAGACATTGAATTCTTTCAACATATCTTGGACGATAATTTCTAATAGAGCTATCGATTGATAAATCGAAAGGTTTTAGTTAGATGCGGAATCCAAAGCACAGGATTTGTTGGAAATGCCCCACTCAACCACACATAAATATGGTAAATGGAATATAAAAGCGTAAAATGTTGTGGTCTATGGGCTGTATACCGTCAAATCCGCTGTCATTGTATGTCAGTAATGCTAAAAAGTAAGGCTGCGTCTGTGGTGATTCACAGTCAGAAAGGAACAACTCAGGTATGTTCAGGTCAAGAACAAACAGATCCGAATGAGCAATGCTCAGCAGGGGGGAAATGTACATAGATCACTGCCTAAACAAAAGAAGGTAGCCATGCTGTAACAATAAGATAAATCCCAGTAGAAATCAATAACTATGGTTGAGGAGTAACGATGTGATAAATGAGACACCAATTCATACTACTTTTTGTCAATAAGTAATATAAAACAAAACAAATTTAACGGTGATAAAGAACAGATGAATTAAAACGAATTAACGCATACAAACGCAGCTTGAAGAAAGAAGGTTAATAGCGAAAGATTGAGAAAATTTATGAACAACGCCATCTTTAGAAGTACAGCATATGTAGAATGTCGATACGTCGAATGCTACATCTCCTCTGTTACACCTTGGTAAGGGTAGCAAAAACAGTCACGTTTCATACACCTGGTTCCCTTGATTGATTTTCATTAAGCGACAAAGTTCTTATTCGCAGTTTAAAATGTCATCAACATTTTACTTGACATGGTCTCGACATCTGCAGGTGACCTGAAATTGCAGTGGTTATGACAGAATCAAAACAACATAGTCAGCTTAAAATTGAGACATCCAAAATGTAAATAAAACGATTTGTAGTTCAGTTCATCGTCCATTGAGATGCCTTGAAAGCGAAGAAGGGGGAAGGAGAAGACAAAGGCATTCAGGAAGAAATAATAATCATTGCTAGTCTACAAAGTTATAAGAATAAAATCGTCTCAGTGGGGCGGAATCACTGACATCCTAGACTATCAAAATACAGTTTACATATTTCAGGTCAGAATCACGCATATATAGGGGTTCGATTGAACTCGACAGCATGTTCAACTCTCAAGTTTTGTGGACCCAGACTTTTAGTGGGTTTATTCATCCACTTCTTTGCAAGTCGAAGCGTTGAAAGTTGCAGAGTTGTTCCTTTTACGAGGTGGAGTCTCTATTCTCACGCCTAAACTTTCCACTTTTCCAGTTTGGTCTACCATTAACCAAAAAACTAGGCAAGGTTCAGGAGAAAGTTGGGCGAAATTCGAACCTGGGAATGAACAAAACACCCCACCAAATGATAATGTTGCTCGTAAGCACGTTATTCCGTTTATACACCAACCTAAATTAAATCAAGATTGACTATTTCTGATTGTTTGCTTATTTACATTCGTTCATTTACTCTGGGATAAACTAAAATGAAGAACCACAGCGGAGTCAGCGTGACCAGTAATCCTCTTCAAGGTCGGCTTGTGAAAAGCTAACCAGTCATACATAAAGGCGATCTGCATCAATATGAAATCAGGCAGATCACTTACCTTCGACCATCCTGTAAAAAATCAAAGTCAGGTGTACTTTGTCAGCCAGCACTGTGGCAACATTGTAAACCTAAATGATGGAATTCAGTCTGCACTGGACGAAGGACTGGATACATGGCGCTATTTACCCTGTGGTGTTGCATCAAAAAAGATACAATTCACTGGCAATCAATTTTAAATTATCTGGGTACGACGATAGTACAACATGTAAAGAAAAATAGGAAATTCTGAGACTTTTCCCATGAAAATGAATCACATACAGCATAATGTGAGGTTGTTTGAATGATATTGCTCAGAAAAAGTATCCAGGAAGTCCACTTCACTTTGTTTTGGACTCAGCAGACAGATTAGCATTCAGTCACAATGAGTTATGCTGTTCCCACTCAGACTGAGACTCAGTACTCGTAATTTCAGGTTTTTTATTCCAACATAAATCACTAAAAGCAGAATAGGAAATAAGTTAAACAAATAACAACAGATACCGGACTTCCGTAACTATGTAGGCTAGCGGATAGTTCCTTGACGTTTGAAATTTTGGGTACTGAGTTAGAGTTCCTGTGAGATAAAAAACATTTACTCTCTGGGAACACAAGTACATCTAACTGATAGGTGCCCGGTAGAACGGAATGCACATCTTGGAATCTGCTGCTAACCACCATCAGCTAATTAACAACGCATAAAGGTTAAAGGACTGTAGGAAACTTCGCATCAGGAGCCGACAAATTTCATTCCAATAAAATTATTATTATATTATTGTTCCCTTGGGTTCCTAGTGGAACATAGGGCTTCAAATGCACATCTCCACCTGCTTCTGTCTTCTGCTGTACTTTTCACCTGCATCCATGTTAGTCCACACTTTCAGCTCTTCTTCACACGATCTCCTCCATATCACCCTTGGACGTCCCACTCGCTGCTCCCCTTTCAGGTTCCACTCGAGCGTTGGCCTGACGCGCGATGTCACCCAGCGGCCTCCTCAGCCAGTGAGTGTCCAATCCATCTCCACTTTCTCCTGCATATTTGTTGGGCGATTGGTTCTTGTTTTGTTTCTTCCCATAGTTTGTTTCTTGTTGATAATTCTTTCCGGCCATCTGATCTTGAGTATAGAGCGAAGACAGTTAGTCACTAGTTCTTGCAGAGTCCTAAGTCGTCCTTCTTTGGTAGTTTCACGAGGTAACCTTTCCACCAGTCAGTAGGCATTTTTCCCTCCTTCCAGACATTTTGCATTAATTTTTTTCCCTTCACGTTCCCCAGTGGAACATAGGGCTTCAAGCTTGTGTCTTGAAGTTTCTGTAGCAGTGTTTACTTTACAGGATGGGGTTGCTAGCCTCATGCCCAACCTTTCCTCTTCACCAGCATTATTTCTGGCTTAGCGAGGTAAAGGAGTGCGTCGGCCGGGGATCGAACCCCGGACCATGTGCATGGTCAGCGAGCGTCCTAACCGCTATACCACCGACGCTTTTGCATTAATGGAGTCAGCATATCTGCTGTCGTCTCCGGGTCCGCTTTCAGTGCTTCAGGGGGTATTCCATCAGGTCCAGCTGCTTTTCCAGCTTTCAGAAGCTTGATTGCATTCATGACTTCAGTTTTCGTTGGAGGATTGGTGTCAACTTGCAGTTGTGTACGTGCTGTTGTTGGTATTACTGGACGGGTTGTAGGTGGTGGTCTGTTCAAGATTCCTTTGAAGTGGTCCGAACATTGTTTAATCTGTCTTTCTTCCTTGATAATTGGGTTCCCTTGACTGTCTTTTGTAGGATTCAATTGTGTTGATCTCTTCCCGGATAGAGACTTGGTTATCTGATATAATGTCCTCAAGTCCCTTTTGCCGGCTGCCTTCTCAGCGTCAGTAGCCAGGTTGTCGTAGAATTGTCTTTTGCCCTTCCTAGCACTCTTCTTCACTTCTCTGTCCAGTGCTGTGTAGGTTGAGCTCACCGTCTCTTTCTCTTGTCCGTCTTTGCATTGAATCATCTTCTCTTTCACCATTCTCCTCTCCTCTATTAGTTTCCAAGTGTCCGTTGAGAGCCATTCCTCGTCTTGTCTCTTCTCTCTTCCTAAAATCGTTGAAGACGTCTCGTTGAAAATCACCTTCAGAGAGTTCCAATGGTCTTTCACGCATGATTCCTCAGTGATGCCACGTAGTGTTTCCTGCTTTGCTCTAACAGTTGCAGTGAAAATGTCCTTTGTGGTTGTGTCCTTCAGTTTTTGCGTGTTGAACTTGCATTGTGGCCTATCCTCAGGTATCCTCGAGGCTTTCAGCTTCACCTTGAAAGTCCCTTGTACTAGGTAGTGGTCTGAACCCACATCTGCTCCTCTCCTCAACCTTGTGTCCAGTAGGCTCCGTCTCCACTTCCTTGAGATTGAAATGAAGTCTATCTGGTCTTTTGTGTGTCCATCTGGTGAATTCCATGTTGCCTTGTGTATATCCTTGTGTTTGAACACACTGCCACCAATCACCAAATCATTGAAGGCGCAGAAGTCTGAGAAGAGTTCACCATTGTCGTTCATTTCACCGAGGGCCTCGCGACCCATGGTGAGTTCTTTCTCTGTATTGTCTCCTCCCACTTTTGCATTCATATCACCAATCAGGATTCTGATAGCCCCATTTGGGACGTTGTCCATTACTGTTTGTAGTTGACTGTAGAAATCCTCATTCTTCTCTTGTTCTGAGACGTTTGTAGGCGCATAGCATTTAGTGATTGTAACCTTCCTTCCTTTTGAGTTGAACCTGGCTGTCATTATCCTGGAGGAGATTGGTTCCCACTGCATGAGAGCTTTGGCTGCTGTTGGTGACATCATAATGGCCACTCCCTCGGTGTGCTCGTGATTGTCCTCTGGGTGACCTCAATAGATTACTGTCTCTCCAGTTGCCAGTTGGCACCTTCCGCATCCCTTCCATCTGCTCTCGCAGATTCCCAACACTTCTATTTTATATCTCCTCATTTCTGCGGCTACCTGAGCAGCCTTTACAGTTTCGTACATTGTACGAACATTCCGCGTCCCCATCTTTATTTTCGCTTTCATCGAAAGGAGGCACATTGGCTGACTGTCTTCCCGAAGGCTTTCACCAGCCTGCGTCATTTCACTTCCGCGATTTCAGCGTAAATTAAGGTTACTGTTTATATTTTTAGTATTTTAAATATGTTTGTGCGTTGAAGTTTCTGTAGCAATTCGGTTAAGTTTTCAGGGTGGAGTTGCTAGCACCACGCCCCAACCCTCCCTCTTTATTCGGGCTTGGGACCGGCTAGAAAACTAGCGAGCTAGAAATCTACTCTATAAAGTGCTTATCTTTTTGCTTGATGGTTTGATTCATTTTGACGCTTGTTTCCATTGCCTTTCAATAGTTCCTTTGATCAGCCCGATGAGTAAGTGATACGAATTAGTTTGAGGTTACCTCGAATTATACCTTAATTTATGCAAGTATCAACACATGCTGACGTAATAAACACGATGCACAAATTCAATAATACATTTCACAGGCTTTTCTAAAATACACAATGCCGAATAAAGAATAAACCATTTGTGATGCTTCTCATGAATTTACAACTTTAAGACCTGAAGCGGGATTTTTTCAATGACGTGTGTATTTGTCTTACCCCACAGAATGAAAGTGTCTGTGGAAGATTTTGTATAAAACTGAATTTTTGACGTAGAAGTCATTCCACACACTATAGTTAAATGTGGAAGAACATTTGAAATGAAACTAATAGACGAAAACGTGAGACAAAAGGAATAATGAGTATTTAATAAATCCTGGAAGGTCACAAGGAGTGAAGGCATTTAAACCATTGAGAATGATTTTTCGTCATACTCGGAAAAGTCTCCTTAAATCTTTGATTACCCATTTCAGGATGTCTATACCCTACATGGATCAAACCAAGAGTAAATGACTTCATGTATTGATGTTATGTTTTGATCCAGCTACTCGTGACTATTTCCCATTCTAATCCTACTTCAGGTGACACCGCTCATCGAGAGAGACGAAGGTCTAGCAAGAGCAATACGTGCCCTAAACATCATAGTCATTACAGACTCATTACCTAACTACGCCTAACCTCATTATTACTGATCATTCTATGTCAGCTACCACGAGAAACGGAAAGCGGATATCTTTGTTCAAAAATGGCTAACTTAATCATCTCTTTCACATTCAACGGTTATAAATTAGATGCGTGAAGACGGTTGGAGCAAGCTGATGCATACCAAACAAGATTGTGAACGAGTAGCTGGATATCACATTGATCCTTTCTGACATTTCGTCAGCACTCAGTCAGTTCACGGCCAGTGCATTTTCCCAAATAATTGAAGCGTTCAAAACGTTCAGCCATTTCGTTTGTTGTCCCTAGTCCAGTGGTGGTCACAATCCAGTGTTGAAGGATTGTCTTCCATTCGATTGGGGTGAATTGCACGCCAAATAGAGTCACACTTTCATATAAAGTGTTTAGAAGACTTCTATTCTTGACATCTCTACTCAAAACGACTGCATTATATGCATATATATTCCTTTCACCAAAGTGAGGCGTGTATACCGTCGAATGCTCATTTCGGCTATGCAAAGATGAAATATACAAATGAAATTTTGATTTTTCAAATTTCGTTCAGAGTGGAGTAAGTTTGCAGACTATAAATGTTTCATTATGTAGAGCACTTTTTATATTATTTGCGTTTATACTTCATTCGGTCACTTTTCATCTGTCTCTGGAATACAGATGGTATTCCTACTGAAAACAAGGACGCACAAATTGAGATTCCAAAACACTACCTATTTGGTCAGTGAATGACAACAATCGCCTCTTTGCTAAGGGCTATCCGTCAACTCTTCTGCATCGCGAAGTGCTAGACAGTGGCATCTACAAACCAAGTGGGAATGAGCGCACAAGCAACAAAACTAAATGCAATACGAAAACATGACAAATGGCGAAGATACTGGACCACATTGCTTCAGCATAACCAACTGACATAGAAACTGATGGTCAGTCCCCATTTCCAAATGACAAACGCTGTAGGCCAATAATTCTTCAGAAAACATATACCACCATAGGAAAATATCAGAAGCTGACATAACTTGGAACTGAAGGGTCACTAAATTCTCACCGAGTGGTTGAATGTTCCTGAAGGTCGCGTTGTAAATTGAAAGTGGTGAGTTTGATTCAGCAGAGACTGACTATTTAAGTGCATTTAAAATAAAACACGGTAAAGACGAGGTTATCACAGTTAACATGAAGCCAGAAAGTCAGTACTCAGGAATAAATGATTACCATTAAGTGTTATAGCCGAGTGACCTTAAAATACTTAAAACAAGACTTCACAATAATGAGATACAGATGAATAGTTATTTGTCTACATCTATACCTTCATCCAAATCACCGTCTCAGGAATGTTTCAATAAAAGATTTTATTGGAATAATATCAGCATCATGCATTATTCGACATGTAGTTTTTCCTATTTCACTAAGCGTCTTCGTAAACCACTTTTCCTTGTTATATGGTTTAAAATAGTAGAGTTGCAGTGATTTTGTAGTGGCAAATAATTTTCCAAAATTACCCGTCTACGGCTTTCGTCATCCAACGCTGGGCACTAATGGACACTGTTTAAGTAGGCTGCTTAAGTTGAAGTTACTCGGTCAAGCATCCTCGTCATTTGTCACCATGTTGGCTTACATTTGGTTGTTTTTGAAGTATTACTAGATAGTTAAACACATATCCTCAAATATGCTACGTATTTTAGGCTGTAAACAGTTGACTGGAAGTCGACAAAATTAAACGATTGCACCATCTTATTATGAACGAACCGTTGGTTTTGCTTTGTTCCGACTGATTAGTGCATGAAGACTACCTGATTGTTGTTGTTCTGCCTTGATTCGCTGATTGTCATCTTGTTCAAGTACAATATTTAAATTTCAGGACCGGAAGACCAAATACACCCACTGCTACATCGTTGTATCCTCGGTGCTCGTTGAGACCTTCATTTCCCAGAAATTTGTGATTTGTTTTGATAATTCATTTTTCTTAATTTACAACATAATTGTTGTGTTTAACAAACGTTTATATACAAACTTTGAATATGTACTTACTAATTAACTTTATGTTTACTCAAATATGTCTACTTTCAGTGTCGAGAAGGCAACGTATGTTTCCCAATATTAAATGATTTGCTAACATTTTAAATATTAGAGAATGAAACTGCTTGTAAATGACATTCTTGAAGAGAGAAATGAAGACCTTCAAATCGTTAGAATTGTGTTATAAAAGAGTTAACTCAGGGTTCCCAAGGTATCAAGTGCTAAGCTGTAAAGTTAGTGCACATGCACCGACTTCGGTATTATTATTCCTTTGGTTTTAAGTGGAACTTGGGGTTTCGGTTGTTCATCCACACTGTACTCTACCCCCCTCGCCATCACTGTCGGCTGATATTATTAGTACTCACAAGCATTTGGACACACACCCGAACTCGTCGTTACCCACTCGGGTTCCACTCGATGGCCCGGAACGTGAGGTCAGCTGAAGGTCTCTCCAATGTATATTCGAATCATCTCCAATTTATTCTGCATATTTAGTGAGTAATTTGCTGTCATCTGGTTCTCTTGCATAATTCCTTGTTACTTCTCCTTTCTGACCAACTTCAGTGGTAGCCACTACGGAATATATTCTCTTTGAATTCTTCACTATAGGCAAAGTGGCGACTTTTTGCCATTGGACTTAACACAAACGGTTAATTCAGTTTCATTTTTTGTAACTCAAAGCAGGTAAGAAAAGTTAGGCGAACACCAGACTCTTGTTGAGCAAGATGCAGCTGTGATGACTGAATAGTCAAGTTCAACGCACTTTTACATTGAAAGCGATCCATTCTAGACTACCTACCGTTCCACGAAGACATCTATTGTTCTTCGATATTACCACTCTTTTTACCTCATATCTCTGTTTCGCACTTCTTTTCACTTTCTTCTCTTGCTTTGTGTGCTAAGGGAAGTGTGGCGACTCGAACTGCTGCACATCAGTGCAAACTACTACGCTGAAAGCAGTCAGTCAGCCCATTATTCCCTGGTATCCTAGTACATCTCATTGAACATTTCCAAAATGATGCGAAACCTACAATCTGAATTCTTGTGAATATGATAATCAAGCATATAACTCCATAATATATTATACTTGTATTGTGGTTAGAATTCTGTGTGATGTAGACTTGGATTAGCAGATTACTGCTGATGTTATGAAGGATGGCTGGGGGTGGACTACAGCTGTTGATTGTGACAAGATTCGTGTACCAGTGGCCTTGGATTGTCTCAAAAGACCCAGCGGCTAATGAGGAATTCCACCTTAATGAATGATATTTATCTTCCAATAAATTGTTTAGTAACCCATGGACCTATTGCACTTGAGCGAGATACCTAAGACTCACGTTGAAAACCTAATTGCACAGTGGGTACTGCTGCACTTCATCCCCTCACATTCCGGTTGAATGGAATCAACTGCATTCCAATTTTGAACCTTTAAGTATTCCATCATTTAAGTTTCACTGAGTAGTAGGTATCCAATCAGCAAACGTTTCTATATCTGACGAAGTAAAAAATTAAGGCAGTTTCTCAAAATGGTAGAATCGACTATAATTATTATCTTTGTGGTAGACTGCACTGGAATCTACAGTCCATGTTTCGTCTTATGAGATACTCTTCAAACGGACATGTGTGTCTTAATGTTTTTTGGTACTTCCACCGAGAATCAAACTCGAAATCAGTGTTGTCCTCTTGATTTTTTAATTGTTACAACCAGCACTCATTCAACAGGTACCAATCAGGTACCTTAGTAGGCTGAAATGGTCGACTAATTTCCGCCATACGAGCGTGCATAGCAGATGTCTCATAATGTCACTCCCATTTATGAATTTAAAATGTCGATGATCACAGTAACCGTGAATCAGCGAAGGCTTACTAGAGAGTTCTTACAAGAACGAATCACGTCTTCTAAGTTAGAATACTTGTTTTCACCAAGTTAGCAGTTTCACTGTAATATTGTCAGTAATATTGAGAAGTTTAGACGATAAATTTATTCAACTGAAATACAGACAACATGAAATCCGAAGAATTATTAAAGCGAACTTTTATCTTCTTGAGTCAACTACAAAGCCATTTTTGATAAAGATTATCAAGTTCAATCATGGACTAATACCAGTTGGAGAACCATTGAGAAACCATGAGTGTGCCGGTCAGCAGTCAAGTTCTAGTTTAAGACACTGCACACCCAAGACCCCATCGTGGGTCAAAACAAGGTTCTCTAGGTTCAGAGTTCAAGGTCATCGACTGTTCATCCACTGGGACCGGAATCAAGTGGTTCATCAATTCTGAATTCTATCAATTCGTGATCATATTCGTGAAAACAGATTCAAGGAAACTAAAGACTATGATTCTTATACTCATGACAATTTTAGAATTGTTAAGACTGAGTAAGTTTTGTTCCGTTCCGCAATTTTCCATACAATGATGCGTGTTTTCCTCTGATTCTACAATAAAATATTGAAAGAAGTACTAAATTCCAACGTATTGCTTTGTAAAATGGCAAAAAGACGTAAGGAAAAGAGAATGTTTCTTCTCGATGAGTCATTCTCATCAGTTGTATTTTGCGTTTTTATTTACAATCAACAAATTAGTCTATAAATGGGTAGTACGTCATGCTGAGAACTGCTGAAGATGTTCTAGGATCTAGTGGTAAATTTTCTACAGAGTTGGAAAGTGATTACGTAACAGTGGAGTAAGGAGAATGCCGATCTCTAGCGCTAAGGACACAATCAGTGTCTACTATAGTTCATAATATGAGGTGTACAGTTTCTGATATGACCGCTAGTACGAGCTGGTAGACTTCAAATCGTACAAACCTAATCCAAAACAACAACCAGAACAATCCCACCAACAGGTGAAAACAAGAAGAGAGGACGAACAACAGACATGAGAGAATTTACTGACTCAAACAACAGAAAAAACATTTGACTGTGATACTAATCATGTATCTTGAATGACTGAAAAACACGAAATTGACTGGTAATTGGAAACAGTTAACACCCAGTAAGAGTTCAGCCTTCCAAGAGAATGAAAAATCCATCAGTAAGCGATAACCACAAAATGAAGGTATTTTTAGTTTATTGTGTAGTATAAGGTGAAATTTACTGAAAATCAAGAGGGAATATTTTAACCCAAATGTGTACTAAAAGAGTACTTTTAAAATGATTCACAAGAGAGAAAAAAGTCGGTATCCTGTTTAAAAAATATGCTTTGTCTTCTTCGCTGATTGTATAACACCTTGTTTCTGTCAACGTATATCCTTCATTTATGGAGTCTAAGGAGTGCTGCTGATGAGTGCACATCAGCCTATTAGCTACCTATTGAAATACTTACTTAATTGTCTGTGAATATGAATATACTGAAGAAGAGATATGTGAATTTCGATTCCGGCGTAATTGGTATACATATATATGTAGTCTAGCAACATAACGTGTAACCCTGAAGCACTTTTCTTACATACTATTTAGAAATAGTATTGTAGAAAGCCAGTTTCAGTTGAGTTGCTTTGTTCATTTCCTTTGTGTTCCGAGTAAAATATAGGGCTTCGAGATTGAGCCTTGAAGTTTTAGTGGCGTTGGTTTTACCTGTATGGAACGAAGTTGCTAACCTCACATCTAACATCTCCTCTTCACCAGGCCAACTACCGACTGAGATGTAGGAGGGCCTCAGCCAGGAATCGAACCCTGACTACTTGGGTGGTTGATGAGCATTCCCCCAATAAACCACCAATTCACCAAGAATTGTTTTTAGCAATGAATATAAGAACTAAAAGGTTGCTGGTGTAAAGATTAATCTAGAATCTTGACTGATAATTCAGAGTGATGTTTTAAGACTGTATAACTTTCCGAGCATATACACGTATGTTAGTTATGTGAATTTATTTCTGTTCATCCTCTGTTCACTAGAAGTTCCAATTCTGTGGCTGTAAATAAAGTCGTATAAACCTACAGATTTCACTACTGCTTATGTCGGTGTTTTCTTGGTGTCAGTCCCTTAATTATCGTCACAAAAGTTTACTTTGTGATCACTAAGTTAACATACTTAACGTTGCCATGCACTTTTAACTGATTCTAAATAGTTGGAGGTTGTGGGCTGTACTATACTCTCAGGTCAACGGATTAGCGAAGAGCTCTCACTAGTATGCATTCAAATGCTTATAAGAAAATGATTCTCCCAAAGGGTGCTTGCACTGACTAGTTAGTGAAAGATAATAAACATGAGATCTATTCCTAAGAAATAGCTCAGATCATTGTATGGTGAATAGTTAGAGGCAGTTGGCAGGAAGCCTTAGACCTAAACTGCGTGCTAGCTGGCACTCATCAGTAAGGCGTATCTATCACTCGAAAGGAACTGATGCCACACCCATTCAGAGATACGAACTCACATCACTCAATACTGCAGTTATAGGCCCTGACAATGAACAATTCGTACTATTACGAATTAAAAACACCGTGATCTTTGACTTCTCGTTTCTCTTCTCTTCAACAAACAACAGGTGCACGTAAGACTGTGTTAAATTTAGTTGCCCACACTTTTGTTACCATACACACCAATTTGTGTTACCATTTATCATTAATTAAATAGTTTCTATTGAGCACTTAGATGAAGTTTCAACCATAGATAGATATAACATAGAGTAATGGAGATGTTTTGCAGAAATCATTTTACCTTTGATAGAGAAGATTTGTAGCTCAGGTGGATGATTTTGATGTGGTTGTGTTCTCTGAGCTGGATAGTTAATTTGCAAAGCTTTCACCACCCTACTAGGTGACATATTCAGCGAATACCAATTGTTTCATTACCAGGAACTCCAACATACAATTTATCCAAAGAATTATACAGAAAACTAAAACACCTAACGGAATCTTGTGATCACTCCATCAACCCCGCTCTCCAATTCCTAGAGAAAATCAGAGGCATCCAAATAGACGAACAAGAAATAATGATATCCTTCGACGTCACAGCATTGTACACCTCAGTCGGACAAAAACTAGCAAAAGAAACCATGGAGCAATCACTTATCAACGACGAACACCTTCCACAAAAATCAAAAATGCAACACACAAGTTGGATGGAATGCATAAACCTATGTCTAACAACGTACTTCCAATTCAACGGCCAAATATATGAACAAGTCAAAGGAACACCTTTGGGATCGCCAATATCAGGTTTGATTGCAGAAGCAGTGATGCAAAGGCTCGAGAACATAATTCTACCAAAGATCAAACCCAAGATTTCGATACGTTACGTAGACAACACATTTGTAATTATCAAAAGAAACGAGTTAGATAAGGCTCACAACCTGATAAACAACGTCTTCAATGACATCAAATTCACAAGAGAAGAGGAATCAGAAGACCAAATCCCATTTTTGGACGTCTTCGTCAAGCGAACAACGACAACGGAATTTGAAATTCAAGTCTATAGAAAATCAACTCACACAGACCAAATCCTGAATTACAAAAGCAACAATCCAATAGCTCACAAGAGGAATTGCATACAAACACTATTCAAGAGAGCCAGGACTCATTGCAGCACTCGCACCTCAAGGAAACTTGAAGAAAAATATCTCATGGACGTCTTCCAAAAGAATGGATATCCACGGAATTTCATCAAAAGACATATACCCTCAAGCCAATCTATCAAACCAAAAGCCCCCAAGGAAAGCACAAAGAAAATCGCCTTACCATATATAAAGGACATCTCAGAAATCACTACAAGACTCTTCAAACCTTTAGGAATTGACGTTGCACACAAACCAACAAAGTCACTTCACTCAATTCTATGTCAACCAAAAGACTCAACAGCGAAGGAAGACAAAATTAACATCATCTACAAAATAGATTGTATCAACTGCGAAAAACACTACATTGGCCAAAGTGGACGTCCCCTTCGTCTTCGTATCCACGAACATAAGCTAGCTGTCAAAAGACATGATATCCACTCCCTCATATCACTACATACAGACAACCACGGACATCAATTCAATTGGGACAACGTTCAAATATTAGACAGAGGAAACAACAAGAATGCTAGAGGATTTTTAGAAGCTTGGCATTCCAGTGAATCATCAATCAATAGAAACATCGAGATAGACAAAATTTAGCAAACGATAAGAAGGAAATCTCACACACAAAGGGTGAAAGTTCAAGTAAAGGAAACAATCAGTTCCAATATAATTAGCCTACAGGGTGTGAAAACACACAAAAACAACCAATCACGTCCAAGGTCGCCAGGAGAGATGATTAATAAACTCGTGGAGAAATCTAAAAGCTCACTTCAAATTGAAGTATGCGCTGAAGATGTCACCTAGTAGGGTGATGAAAGCTTCGCAAATTAATTATCTAGCTCAGAGAACACAACCACATCAACATCATGTTACCTGTACGCTGTACTATGAATGTGAAGATTATCACAAGTAGAGATAAGAGATATTCTCTCTTGAATGAGGATTAACAATCAGTCCATGTCCATGGCATCTGAAAGGCACTGAGAATAATGCGGTCGAATCACAAAAACTACAGGCTGTAATGTTTTCCTCTCTGAAACGTATGCCAGCATAAACTGAGTGACTACGGGGTATCTTCACAAACCTCAGAAACAGAAATTTAATTTACATATACATATTTCTTTTCATTGACGCAAGAGTTCAGTACATCACAACAAAACATCCATATCGTTGATGCAGATACATCAGATGACAAAGACGACTTTGATTCACTTCTCGCCTCCCCCTCCTCATCCTTCTCCTTCTTTTACTCATATCCATTGAACAAATCTACCAAATATTCTATATGACATATTCTGAATACCAGATGGGAACAGTATTCTGCCAAGTGAATTAATTTCATTCACTTGATCAAAAACGACTCATGCTAGAGTATTTCGCATAGATTTAATCAAGACTAAAATAGTCGGTCAACGTGGATATATTGTACACTAAATGGATGCTACGAGGATATGACCTATTTTCCTGAAATCAATACTGGACTCAATACATCGAAAGTTTTCGATAGTGAGACTACTTAAAGTGACTTTTATCTGTTAATAAAGTCCTTACGCGGTTACAATTCTCACTCATCTCATCACCTCACCACTCCCTTACTGTCGAGCAGTAAGTCTTTCAAAATATACAGCTAACTGCACAGAAATCCAAATATGTTGCATAGTCTTTACAATAGGTCTGGACTAGTCATTATTAATTACACAGACATTTCATTAAAAAGGTACTTAGCTGCAGTTCCAAATGTTCTTCCAGTTCTCGTAATCTCTCTCTCTCATTTGCACTATTCATTTTACAACCACAGTTGACTAAGGAAACTGAAAGCACAGAAGGTAACAATGAGGCCATGAAAATACGAAATCACAATTATACTTTATTACACTTATTGCAACAGAAAGTAATTTTATCTCCTCTGGCTTTAAATTTGTTTATTTTCATTACTCAATGAGGTGTCTATAAAATGTATAGAGTACCGAACTTTTATCATTTTATTCAGAACACAGGAAGACAAAGCAAGAACGGTGTAAGTGAAATTATTCCTATTATGATTACTTCTATTCTCTCGCTTTCCATTGGGAGCACATTCCTGTAGCAAACTGTCCTTTGTTATCAATTTTAGCCGACTCCACAAACGATTTCTCGATTTTTCACTTCCTCGTCATCATATTCTCCATGTCACCCTCTGACTCACACCTAAATCATTACTAAACCTTGTGATGCTACTCAACGGTATGGTATCACATGACTGTCGTCTCAATGTATGTCCAGTCCATATTTATCTCCATCTCCATATTTGTTGGGAGTTAATACTGTGTAAGCTTCTTCATATCGGTGTAGCTGTGTTCTCTGAGCCCCAAATTTTAATTGAGAGAGGATTTCATTATCCTTCTAGACAACATTTTCATTATCAACTTTGTTATCACTAGATAAATTAAAACTCAGCTAGTTGTACCCAGTTCTTCTCAATAGACACTCAGAATTCACGTAGTTCGCGCTTATCTAAGTTTCTGAAGTGAATCACTCAGATGACACCTCTGATGGGCTTTGCCGAAAACTACCTCTTTAGCAATAAGTGTTTGGATCACTTCTATCTTCCTAATGACAATTACCATTTGATACTAGTGACTTTCAACTGACATTCCAGCATCTGTGTTCATTCTCTTGGCGCCTATGTATTCCACCTAATCTGAATTTTCCACAGAGGTTGTGATTAAATGTTACCCCGAAATCTGTACATTCCACTGTGATATAATTTTTGCAGGAATCTCATCGTAATACTGTCATCTTGCCGATGGTAGTTCGCATGCACAAAATTGAAACATAAATGAAGAGAGAGAATACAAATAAAAAATTCTGGAACTTATTTTGTTGATGAAGCACTTTTATTTCTTCTGTTTTTATTCTGATACAGATTAGGAGGGGTAAATGTTCTGTAAGTTAAAGTTATTTCTTTACAAATGACCACTATCCATATATTTGACATTAGACTTCTTCAGTCAATCAATAAAGTTTATTGACTATCTCAGGGAGAGTCATGCTTTCTTGAAGACATTAATCTACTTCAGTGAATCAGGCTGTTGGAAGCATTTATTTTTGTTTAATTCTCTTGTGTTACCAGTGGAACATATGCCTTCAGTCACGAGCTTTGAAGCTTCAATAGGGATCCTGTTCTTTTACAGTGTGTGGTCGCTAGTTGCATGCACAACGTTTCACCTTTAAACGTTCTACTACTAGGTAGGTGAAGTTTAGTAGTGCATCGGCCAGGAGTTTAACCCCTAACAACCTGTGTGAATGTTGAACATTCTACCACTTAACCACCGAGGTATAAATCTCAAAAAATTCCGATCACAAGGGACCTTCTTAATAGTATTGTTACTATTTCTCCCCTGGGTTCCGAGTGGAATATATGGCTTCTATAGCACATCTACACTTTGTTCAATTATCTGCGTTTCCTTCAACTGGCTCGCACCAATGACCATGTCGTCGTTTGTTTCCCACTCCTCTCCCACTCATGAGATGGCCTGGCGTCCGTTGTCATTCGATGGTCTCCTCAACGTGTGCCCGGTACATCTCCGTTTTCTCCTACATCCTTGTTGAGCAAAAGGCTCTTGGTTAGTTTGTTCTCAGAGTTTCTTTTTACTAATTCTTTCTAGCTGGCTATCTGGTCTTCAAATTGGATACAGAGAGGAAGGTATATGTTGATTAAATCCTTCAGCAGCCTGTTGGAAATGCCTTCCGCGATGCAATGACCGAGTTTATAACCCATTTAGAAGCACTTACTGACTTAACATTTGTGTTGAAAATTAGAATTTACTTCTTTGTACTGTGTGCAGACGAATTCCAGACTGATTTCAGATTGATTACATCTTCATCCGTTCCGTCTGTAGTAAAAACGAGGCTTTCTGGTTAACTGACCTTCTTAATAGTAACGGTAATTTTCCAAGTTTGTGGATATATCTTGTTAGTTAATGTCAACGAATACAGAATCTAGATAGAATAAACTATCCCTCCTAACAGATATAAGTATAAAACTTGGGCACTGTGGTAGAGTATAATGGCAAATGAAATAGTTAAAAAACCAAAAGTATGTGTATGAGAGTACAACACGCTAGTTCCGCATCTGAACTCTTGATCATTGTTACTAATCTTCTTAGTTAAATGAAGAAATCATATTAGTGGTGAATACCATTAACACCTCAATAGTTAGTTCACTCTGTAAATTTTACATCTAGTTGTCATAAGTCACAAAATGTACAGACACCATTCAACATTTGAGGTCGTTCAAGATAGTTGGTAGGAAACCCTGAACCGTTGGTTTCGTACTCACTGGTCAACGTCATAAAACAGTATCTATGACCTCAAAAGAACTAATACATCTTCAATGAGTAGAACCCATATCCAGTTTTTTATCCTTACGGATATTAAATGAAAATCAAAACTCCCTTCAAACAACTACTTTGCCCACTTTCTACTAATAGTTGATTGTTTATTCTAGCCTTGAATAAGAGAACAATAGAAGGTATAAATAATATTTTGTCCAGGTACCAAATCATGGTGTGGGCTGCTGAGAAGAATCTTAAAGTTGAATATTTTATATAAAAGAATCTTTAAAAGCAGGTTAGTGGATTAAGTTGCGAAGAGGAGAAATGAAGCATCCTTGTTGAACAATGCGTAGAACAAGAAGAGAAGACAAAAGAAGTAGAATATGGAGTACTGGTGCAAGCGGATGTGTATTTTGCCACAACTGCACATCACTTTGACAAATGTTGAAGTCTGCTGCCTAATACTTCCGTGTCTTGCTAGTACGCCTTCACGGCCACTTCTTTCAGTATTTACTAAGCGGTTTACTATTTCATTTCAGTGACAAATATATAGAACATCTGTAAGTGAAAATAACTCATCAGTTTCAATAAACCAAAGGGTCTCGCATTTTTACAGATACTTTGCTATCTTAACTGCTGATTATACCTTTATCAAAGTAACATTCGACCAGAATTTACAGAATCCCTGCTAAGATACATAGTAACTTAATCGTATATCTTCAGCATGAGGTAACTTTCTACTTTTGGAAGTGGATGGGAACTGATGAAGATAAAAAACCATATGTAGATTGTTGGATGTGAAAAATGTGTGATATTATTCAAACAGCATGTGTTCACATAATGAAATTTCCTATTATATAAGTCTGTTGATTCGGTCACTTCATGCGAAGGTGGTGGCAGTTTTAGAACTAGGTCAAATTGTGTTCTAATCCATCATTCCCATTCAAATGATTCGGATTTCAGTTAGAATGAAGTGCCTCTAAGATGAAACGTTCTTTGTGATTTTCGCAATTGTTCTGAATGACTTCAATATTGTCGAAATCTGTTTCATGTCCAGTAAACAGTTATGGCCAACTGTTTTGTATTCTCCAAGTTTAAAAATGATTGAAAATTTGAGACAGTATTAGCATTATTAGTGAAGCTGTGCGTTTTTTTCGTTTTAATTTCTGACTCTTTAGCAAAGAACGATCATATGCATTGTAAGTGTAATAAAATGGTGTAGATATTTGTGAAGTTGATCTCGCCATGAATTTATATGAGTCAGAAGGATAATTAATAGTTAATTGTCTTATCGTCACTATTATTAGTTTCGGAGTTTAGAGTAGGAGGCCATAGGGCTTCAGCAGAATGTCTTGATTCCACTCGGTTCTCTGCAGTCCCTTTCAAATGGCTTCACAACTGTCCCGCATGCATTCATTTCTTTTTCATATGATATTCTTCATGCCATTCTCTGCCACACGCCAAACCTGTTGCTTCGGATTTGGGTACCACTCGAGGGTCTGATGTCTGAAATCACTTTTCAGTGTATGTACACTCCACCTTTATCTCCCTCTGGATATTTCTTGGGCTACAGGTTCTTCGCCAGGTCTCCGCTACATTTCCTTGTCACTTGTACTTTTCGGACTTCTGATCTTCAGAATCCAGAGAAAGCGGACATTGATGGAAGCCTCCATTAGCTTGTTCGAAATAAACTTGATTACGTGAGAGCCGCCCCTCTAAAAGGTAGCGAAGCTCTGAATTTCCTTTAGAACTAGACATTTCACTCTTGTCCGTTCTGCTATGTGCTGACCATTTCCACAACGAATTCAGATTAGCGATCACCTGTCTTAGTTAACGGGTCCTAACTGAATTTGACATCATCATCCTTTCTACCTGCAGTTGAGACAGCACTGAGCAGAACTGTATTTAAAACTGTTTTGTCGTACTAAGACACTCCAAAGTGCTACTCATTTGTAAAGATCTTTAGAATTGGATGAAACACCTGCCATTAGCTTCTAATCATTCATTATATTATATTTGGAAATTTAGTAATGGTTTATCTCTAAAATCGGATGAATATAGTGTAGTACTCAAGGAAATAAGATAACAGACAAAGATGGAAATCTACAAGTGAAGAATGAAGAAAGAAAACAGTCATAACATTGATGAAGAGAAAGCAGAAGAGTTGAAATAAGAGAATCCCGACTTAAACCTACTTGTTGCCGAGTTCTCCACGAAACTCGATTAAACAGGTGTCAAATCTATCTGAAGTATCTGATTGCACTACATCGATAACCTTCCGAAGTCACTGAAAGGAAATATGTAACAGTGCTGAATTAAAAGTTGGTGGCCTTAAAAAAAATCTCATTTGTGGAAGACTTTTCCTCAAATCGGACACGTAAGGTGACAGGCATTCCGTTCACAGATGACATATTCTCTCGCCGACCATTGATATCAGGTGTGCGTTGGCAGGGGATCGAACCCCAGACCATGTGAGTGGTCGGCAAGAGTCCTAACCACTGTGCCACCGACGCACAAGTGATGTTGGCTTGTCTTCGTGTGCAGTTGGATCTTCTGGTTGCCACTGCATAATTGGAGACGATTTTGTTCAAATATAGGGGAGATCTAATCCAAACGATTTCAATAGTAGTCTTGTAGTGATTTCGGAGGTGATCTTCACATATGTTATGGAGATCTTATTTGTGTATTTCATCTTCACGGCTTTCTACATCCATTCAGGTATCATATCTGTTGCAATATCCTTAAAATGACAGATCTCAGCAGATATATCATTTTACGATATAACTAAAGGTGGTAGAATTCTACAATCTGCACCAGGAATTTTAGGCGTAGTATCAAAGTATGTCTCATTTATCTGTCAAAAGGTGATTCACCCCTGTCTGTATTTCTTGATTACCCTTGTGAAAATACGATATCAATATGTTCCTCTTTTTTGTACAGCCAATGGAAGCACCAGCCGTAAGTTTATCCAATGCATATTATTTGAATTTCCTCTCTCTTTTCTAACTCAAATAACACTATACTACTGATACGCCCGTTGATACAGCCTGGTAGACTTCAAGCCGTCACAAGCTGATGAGCTAACGAAACCTTTTCAAATAGCTTATTTCAACATCAACAATAAGAGTACTACCAACATGTAGAAAAAGAAGAGACGATGGGCTGTTGACAAAAGAGGTATTACTGTCTCAAACTACAGTCAAAACAGCTGACAACGATGCTAATGTTATGTGCATCACATTAACTTGATAATTATTGGATTGACTAAGAAGTTTAGATAGGTAGAGACCAATGACAGCTCAGCAAACGCAAAACGTGTGAAATATAAAAGGTACCATAAGTGAGCAATAATCGCAAATTATCGTTATTTTGATGTTATGGTCTGATGTGAGACCAAAATTTCCAGAAAATTTGTGCATATATAAAAGCCAATTTTGTTCCATTTGTATTTTTAAATTGTTTCTGACCTCAGAGCTTCTTTGACAAAGTTCTGCCTGAATCGGAATTTTTTGTCGATTTTAATTAGATTTCAGTTGTGATTAGTATACTTGCTGGAAAAATGACATCGAATGCTTCTTTGGGCTAACTATCGTTTGAAGATAGTTGTACTGATATCAAAAATTCTACTCTTGTTTTGATTCATGGAGTTCTGAGTGGAGCCAAGGGCCAAAAGCTTCAAGTCGCACATGCTACATGCAAACCACACTATTCTTTTCAGGCTCACTAACGGCTAGTGAATAAAGCAATGGCACTGGAGTCCATCGACTTGGGACTGAACCCTGAACCACGAGTATTGCTGGCGAACATTGTACCACTGAACCACTGACGTTCAGTGATAAAGTGCTTTCAGTTGACATAAAACGGTGTACTTTACTGATTTTTGTAATACTTATTAGATTGTGCGCTGCAACACTCAACCTGGAATTTCAGAAACGATGACTGCACTACCCTACAGCATGTTGATTTAAAGGGTTAGTTGGAAGCGAGAGAATAGACTTTCTGTATATTTGATGCCTAAATACTGTGCCATAGTTATCAGTGGTGACAGGACAATGGGCTCAGCGATTACAGTGATACCTGCCGCGTAAAACCCCATTAATACACTTAAGGATAAACAAGGGATTGGTTATGGTTTGGATTAATAAATAGTAATATCCCTGGTCTGGTCGTTTAATACAACTAGTGTTAATAAATTGCTTTGAATTTGAATTCATTTATTCATAGTTTTTGTTCTCTGAAATCAAAACGTTTTCGTGTTTTTTCTCTTGTTAGGGAAAAGAGCACTAATATGTACGTCAGTATCTATCTTATTGCTTTTTGTTTGTTTTTTTCAATAATATTTTTGATTTTCTATAGTTTTTGGTTTGTAAGGATTAGTTATGCTTTACGAGTTGATCACGGACTGATATCAGTTAGAGAACCACTGAAAACCATGGAGTACTGGACAGCTGCTGTTTCATCCTAGTACGCACTGCGTACTGCCTATGATTCCCAAACTAGGATGAAACAGCAGCTGTCCAGTACTCCCTGGTTTTCAATATTTTTGATCCTGATTTCTAAGAGTTTTATACTGTATACCTCTGGATGGACAGAGTTTTGTTTTCATCAAATACCACCTCATTGTATCGAAAATTCCGGTGTCAAACAGATTATACTGGAAGTGTAATGAAATCATTGTTGTCTGCAAAGAAATCAGCAACTCGGACTGGTGAACTTCGAACAGTTCAATGAATGATAATGTGGCCTCATACTAACACGTTGTGTACTCACTGACAACGGAATTCATAATGCGATGATATAAATTTCAGGCTGATGCTGGTGCCCAGTGATCCGCTAAATGCCTTCCATTTCTGAATAAAAATTATTTTCCCATCGATCGTTCGCCTACTAAAGCCTTGGTAGTTAGTCTTAGAAATCAAATCCTGAAACTGAAATTTACCTACACGTGGATGTGGAATGCTCAGTGCGTGAAGTCAAATGTTATGGCTGCTTGAATTCAAACACCAACAAAATCCTTGCCCTTCTACACTTCTGTCATGTTATTTTTATCGCTATTCAGTAGAGTGAATAATTCCAGAGATTCTCTTTGATAACTTCATCAGACTCTACAGTGATATATCCATAATACTTAGAGAATTATTGTTTATGACAACACTGATTGTCTGAATAATGTCGAATCAATAAGTTCATTGGATTACTGTTCAAAACATGTGCGTGTGTGTGATAGTTAGTATGCACAAATATAACACTAAATCGAATATCAGATCAATTAGGAGAATTAATATAGTAATTGTGAATATATATCGATTCTACTACACGCCAGGATGGCTTCTGTTGTTTAAAGTATTCTGTATACAAAGTACACTGGTTGGTAGATTATTCGGTAAATGATAAATGATAGAAAAGGAATCATCTCTGTCGACCTTATAGTCTGAAGGAACCAGGAGTGCTGACGTCGAACTACTAACTCTGCACACTTCACTGTTATTTAGCCACATTGGTAGGTGTTCTGAGGCGCAAACAATGAATTTCCTAGAGCTAGGGCCAATATATAACTGGCTGCACAGGAGCAGCTGAATCGATAATATTGACTATTCTCTTTCTATCATCTACCGGGTGGATGTATTAATGTGGAACCTCTTAGCATTAAGAACAATATTTGGTTTTTCAACACCAACCTCGAGTCACCTCTCCGACATGACCCTTACGAAAAGTACTTCCAACTGGTTGCAGATTTCTATAGACAGTTGCCCTGTCTGGCTCCAAACTGAAAATCAAATGGCCAGCTCGAAAGAATTAGAAAACAAATTTCTGGTTGCGAACCAACAAAGAACGCATGGCTCAATTGACGGAGATGGACTGGTCATACGCTGAGGAGACCGTCGAATGACATCATGCACCAGGCGATTTCTGGAATGGAACACAAATGGGAAGTGACGGAGTGGTCTTCCTAGGGTGACAGGGAGAATATCGTGAGAGGAGATGAGAGACCATGGGTAATCGTGGTCCCGGATGAAGAGGACAACAGAAAATAGCACAAAGTGGAGATGTATTGTTGAAGGCCTATTTTCCCCTCGGAACCCAAGAAAACAATGATAAGAATGCTGTGGAACTTGATGAAGTTGTCGGAAAGAATATTCTTGGTTCACTTATCCGCCTTTCAAAATATTTAATCGCATGTTCCACATATAAATGTATATTTATTCACATGAACTGTTTACAACTGATTGTATGGGCGAATCGGTACATGCTTTAAGAGACTTACGATGAACTAAAAGGTCACGAATACTAGATGTCTTCTATTTGTCTTTGTGCCATTAAATCTCTGGTCTTCCATAATCAGTAGAAAGCGAACATAGTCATACGCTGGTTGCGTAAATACTTTTCATTGAGTACGAATATCCATAATCCACTATGGAAACTTTAGTATTGATATATTCTTGTGTTCAAAATAAATCCAATGTGAACGAGCACTACTCAGCAGCATTCCATGATCTATTGATTTCTGTGAGATTTAACTGCCTGCCATCAGTAATGGAGTAGCTATATTCGTTTCTTAGTGGAAATATTGGTGTTTTTTTTTCAACATGACAGATACACTTTGATAATGACTATTGACAACTACAAAAACAAGAACTGAATGATGATTCTAATCAAGTGATACAAAATTGCAGTGCATTATAGCACCAAACATTTATGCACAAAATGTGGAATAAAATAAAAATGGTATTACAGATGCATAAACTGTATAATGTTTCCATTTTAGTTCCACTTATATCAAAAAAGTGTAAGTGAATAAATAAATTTATCTTCGGTTTCAACATTAGAGTAATTCTCTCTCTTTGAAAGTACTCTAAACACTTTATGATATGATTCTAATTTGCCTTTACTGGCTATGGTATGCTTAAATGAATGGATTTATAATTAATTGTAGAGCCTGAAGAAGAATTTATTGAAACCACAATTGTTCACTTTAGTATTAATCGAAAGCCTTAACTTCGAAAATTCCCCCAGAAGTTATGGTTATTCAGCTTTAATGCATTCTCTTTGAGCATATAAGTGACTCAAGTACTACTACACTAACGGAATCAATGGCGTGGCTGCTGTCCTGCTCTAGGCCCTTGTCATCCGAATATACTTACATCCAAGTGAATGGTATTGCTGTAAGTGAAACTTCAAACCAATAAGCTTAGTTGCAATTCCCACCACCACACATTAGAAAAAACCGACAAAACGCTCAATTCTGAATATAAAGTTCAGAAAGAATTATCAACTATTTTGGAATGATTTAATCGCTGTTTTGAAATCCTATAAGAAATACAAGAAAACCGGAAAAAAAGTGATCAAACTTGTTTGTATTTGACCAGAAAGAATTTGATCTTAATGACAAATAGATGGGAGGAATCAAATTGAAAATTCCATTCAGCTTTTATTGATTTGACAATAGGTATCAGACAAATTTATAAGGCTTATTTAAGGAAGAAGGAAGACCTAGTAATCAGAATTGATGAATATAAATGAGATCTAAGATTATGAATTTGACAGGAAAGCTCATTAATGCGGCTCAGTAATGAAGGAGATAACCATCACTCATGAAATGATAAACGATGAGCATTTATATTAATGACACTGCTATACTCGACATTAGGTATATGAATATCCTGTTGACGTGACATAGATGGAAGGCAATGCGTATTGATTTTTGATTCTATCGTTTGAATACAGCTCGGTATGTCAGGAAAGAGAAACTTTCACACAAGATAATCAAAAACGTTGTTTAATATACTTCATTAATGTGTATAATGTACTTATAATTTACCTATAGTATTTGCAGTTTCTTATCAATTAGTTCATTTCAGGAAACATTTTGTAGAGAATGAAATTCATTTTGGGAACTAGGCAGCCAAATATTTATTTAGTACTCTGTTGGAACACCTCTTTTCATCAGGGTGCATCCGAAAATTAATTAAGACTTGATTTCAAAAGGAACAGATATTAAGGTGAATGCTTAGCATTTCATCCAAAAGGATAGAAATGAAGTGATAAATGTTTTTAGGGTTCCCTAACTAACCTAATGACAAAACACATTCAGTATTAAGTTTATTAGGATAATATATCAAACAGTACTGATTAAAAGGACATAAGTAAATTTTCAGTGTATTTGTATTACCTCAGATGGATGGTTTAGTCTCAGATAAACTAAAAGCGGCACGGATGAGGATGTCGGAGCCATTGAAGGTCGAAAAAGGCAAGGCATGCATTCATTGCTCTGAAACTAGTCAGGAAATCTTATGAAATCAATTATGAGAACAAAATTCAAGTTTTAAACACCAGTTTTAATGCAGTCACTCTTTCTACATGAGTCAGAAACATGAAGAGTCCGTGACGAATAGCATTTCCAACAAGTTAGTGCAGACTCGTGTCAGTAGTTGCCGCCTTCGCTCGATACTGAAGATTAGATGGCTTTTCAGAAAGAATTACCAACAGGAAACTATGAGGATGAACCAATCAAATACTTGTCGCTCAACAAATAAGCAGAAGAAAATCGAGATGGATGGATTGGACACGTCCTGAGCAGACCGTCGACTGACGGCGTGTACCAGGCCATCTTCTGAGTGGAACCCCGAATGAGAAACGAGTGGCGAGTTGGGCGTTGGTGCAAGGGTGGCATGGAGAAGATCACGCGATGAGGAGATGAGAGACTATGAGCAGTCTTGGGGCCACCGAGAGAGGACCGCAGAGAATAGCCTTAAGTGTAGATTTGCTACTAAAGCCATTTGTTCCCCTTGGGTTCCAATGGAACAATAACAGTAATAATAATGTACTGAACTCTCTATATGTTAGCAAATTAATATATATATGCATATATTTGTATATATACTGATGACTAAAATGTTACAGTCGTTTTTATGACTCACAAGTAATATATAAATCTTGTTTGTCTTATTGCTTTGATGAAAAAAATCAAATTAGCCAAGGAATGAAGCCATTATTGTAAGTAGAATAAACTGATTCGAATCTTTATGATGAACAACCTTTCCTTGGACCAAGTTAAACATTAGGCACCCACAAATTGTAAAAGTACTCATTACTTTGGGACGCCCAGTCAACAACTTAATGAAATTATGTAAATAGCACTGTAACAACAGAGGGCAAGGCCAAAGTATATTTTTCATTGATCGAGCCACTATTTATATATGTACAGTTTGTACTTTTTTTTAACCAATCACTGAGCGTGTGATTTCGGTTTACATCAAACGACATGAAACAGAATGTTCAAATATACATAGTATTCTGTTGACAATGTAGTACTGAACTATGGGAAAGTATTCTGTTTCAAACATCGAAAAGAATGTCCAATAGACATAATGTATGCAGTATTGAATTGTGGGAATATCATATAGATATATGGCATTCTGTTGGTAATGCCTAGTCGAACTGTTGGAATATGTGAGAATAATATTCCGTTGACAAACACTGTCTGTATCACACCAACACAGCACCATTATTCTTGAAAAGAAAATGTTGAATAAAGTGTTATGATATTAAACTGGATATCTGGTTACTTTATGTTTGGGTTCCGGAGAGATATTAATCTCAGGTTTTGACGAGGGAAAGGTTGGCGTGTGGCTGACCTAATTAGGGAGATATTAACGTTGGTTCGAAGCAGATTAGTGTTAGGCATATGTGGAAATTATATTTGTAAAGTCTCAGAGAAATTGAAATGAGTAACTCAAACGTTTCCTTGGGCAAACTGGTCCGAACTTCCTTAGGATATATTTAACTGATATGATTAGCGGTTGACATAGATGCCTTGATTTGAATGAAATAAACACGTTTTAATTTTATTATCCAATAGTGTTTGAAAGCTGAAGTACACACTTCGTCAACTAATCGCTTTTGTACACATTCTTAGTCCAAAAGGCACTCTGGAGGAGGACAAAAACCCTGAGTAAGTGATAGGTGGAACATTTTCAGTGGATCACCACTCATTGTGATTATCATATTTTATGCAGTATTTTTCATTTCCTCATTCTAATTGATAAAACTATGATGTAATAAGAGGCAGTGTGGTTGTGTGTGCTACTAATGAATAGATATAAGTAGTATATGTATTAATTATGCCTAATACCAAACAGACTTTGGGATCTACAGGCGAAAACCAACAGATTTTCAGAAGAGGCAAGCAGTGAAGACGAGACCTGATTGGAACATAGAAGAGGCAGAGGTGGTGGAGATCCCTAATCAATAATAACAAGCGTCAATTACCATAGACGGGAGTAATTTGAAGGTGGCCATTTCTCTCAGTAGATACCATTTAACTATGAGAAGACAACTGCTTCATGTCAAATAGAATATTAATACATCATGTGAAATAAACTTCAATGGCTAATAACAGCTATGCTAACGGAGCAACAAAACACAGCTAATCTGACACATTACTCATAAGTAGCATACAGTTAAACATAAATGAAAGAGTTATAACTGCTGTCTTCGCTCTGTACTGAAGATCATCTAGGTGACCAAAAAGGATAAGAAACAAGGAACTCTGGGGACGAAACGACCAAGAACCTGTCACCCTGGAAATATGCTCATAAGACACCACGCACCTACCTATCGGGTTGAACACGAATGGGAAACGAGTTGTGATCAGTTCCGAGGTTGACTTAGAGGAAATCATGTGATCATGTAAGGAGGAGGTGAAAGAGCACAGCCACTTGAAAACAAAAATGGAGAATAGGGCTAAATGGCTATGTGCCTCTGAATCCCTATGTTTAACTCAAAACCTAACCGAATAATAAAAATAAATAAAGTGTGCAGTAATTTCCTCAAGGAAGCGGTCACTATTTGTCTGTCGATAGAACAACCAATCAAGAAGAATAATTTGAAAGCCCTTGAAAGAATCTAATTATGATTCTACTTATCAATATGTCTACAGCAGTCAGTTTTATGTGATCCCAAATACCACCTAATCTACTTGAATAAAAAACCTGTCGCTTCAGAACTGAGCAGTAGAAGTTCAAGTACTAAATGGAAACAGGAGTCTCTGCAAAAACGTAGACACACTCCTGTTTGACAACTACCAACAAGGTATGAAACTCAGGTTGGACTGTACTTCTCAACGGTAATCGTCTCCTTCTTATGTTTAGCGTCGAAATCAAAGGAAGAATTGATTGAGAAGCTTCGCTACTCCTATAATTACTGTTAATTATGTGAAATATGAAAACATTTATAACAGTGCTTATCTGTATATGCTTTTCACTAAAAAATACGTGTATCAGAATACTATATATTGAGTTACAATAATACAATCTTGTCTTCTACACGAATTAATTCCACTACAGCACAATATGTTCCGTAACTGAGTATGTTTTCAAGATTTTTCTATTTTTCGACTTAACGAACAGCCAAAATTGCATAATACAAATATACTGTCATGAAGCATAATATGAGTGGATTTTAAGCGTATTTAATGTATTCCGTACCTATTGTCCTTCCAAATTCTAAATTTATCAACTTGTTAAACATACAAAATATCACAATGAGATGTTTGAGTTGCTTTTTTTAACTATTCTATCTTTGATTATATTTACTTACGAAGTGAAGTCAGACTGACAACTAGAGGAAACCTGTTACTACATAAGTTAGCCTATTGGCTAATTTTCGATTAGGGAATTTTGTTTTGCAGTATCGACAGAGAGCAATTTGCAATAGAACTCCTTCCTATATAAGCCACTTCCATCGGTTTATTTCAGCGCTGATATCATCGATAATTGATATCACCTA